TTAAAGTTCCTAAGGTTTTCACTTTACTATGTGAAGTGCTACTAGATCCGAAGTACTTTAGTGATCCCTGAGGGAAAATTGCTTCGATGACATATGTTGTGAATTGATGCTACATAAATAAAATTGAAACCTGACTTATCATACAGCTATAGACAGACCAAAACAAGCACCTTCTCCAGGATGATGAGTCTCACTTATAGAATTGGTAACTGATAATGAAGTGTGATAACACCAGCGGCCATACAGAAATGGCAGAAAACATTTTGTTTGGCTACATACTCTGACTGGGACCAACTAAAAAGGATGCTGGCATGTGGTGGACACTCAGCCTAGGTGTGTGGTAGCACAACACCTCCACGTATTGAATTAAAGGGTGCGCTTTAATTACTGATTATGAATTCAGCTTCCCTTTTGGAACAGAATAAATGCTGTTTTTCCTCTCAAAAGTTACCGTCCTGCTTTCCGCTGCAGAACTTGGGTGTGAGATGGCACCAACGTTTACAGGAATTACCCCATAATCTGACTTTTTGGCCTTTGGTTTTCCATTGGAGGATCCAAGAGCTGCATCGAAGCAACTACAACTAGTCGTTACTGGCTCTAGCTCCAGTTCTATGACCATGTTGGATGTGGAAAAATGGGAGTTTGTACGTTAGCCTGTATGTTAGAGAGAAGATATTGAGAGGTCAGAAAAATGGCGCTCTGAGTTTAACCAATCAGTGTCAAGACCTGCATAGCAACTTTTCGGGGGCCAATCACAGGTACCTAGCCTGTAGTAGGTGCTTTTTCTGCCCAGACAAGACCCTGACAGACATTCTCTAGGGGTGTTCGGATGGCATATAAAGGTTTGGACTGCCCTAAGATGATCACAAGTTCCTGCAGTGGAATACAGTCTAATAATGGTAAATACTGGAGTACCCCTTTGATGGTCTGTTACAAAGTGAAATAATTTAGAGGATGGAGCACCAGCTGTCTGAGAAGTAGATTTGGACAATGAAAATGTAAAAAACTTGGATATTTCTAATCTTTTTTATCCTTTTAAACATCTGTGTCTTTCAGCAAAAGCTCAGCTAGAGTGAATATTAACAATCTGATGAATGCTAGGTGGTAAAAACAGAACATGTGCTTTCTGTCTGTTTATAGGCTTGTCCTGCTCTCCTCCTCAGAAAGATGACACACCACAAACATGAAATACTCTTCAAAGGTCACGAGGGTCAAATAGCATCTCATAATTCTGCACTGGCAATATAAGAAATCCTCCTATCTTTCCTGTTTTTCTAAAAAAAATCACAAACCAGAGCTGAACCCCGAAACATGCAGCTGTGAGGGAATGTGATGCGTCATGTAACAAGTGGCTCTGCTCCACAGCTGGGAATGCCTGTTACATCCACGCACAGCATCTTCTAATCTTAATAATGACAGGGTCCTTAGCAGCCAGCAATTTTCAAAGAGGGACGAGCCATCGAGGGGGTAAAGGAAGGCATTCTGCTGAAAACACAAGCGGCTACATTTGGCTGCCATCCAGGAGCGTAGACTAGAATGTGCAACAAGAAAGACGTAAAAAAGCTCAAATATACTCCCGAAACTGTGAGGAAGAGGAGCAGAGTGTGTGATAAATGGGTGGAAGTGCCGAGCTGGTGCGTGTTAGAAGAGAAAGCAGATGATTTTCACTATGAATGCACCATTGCTGATGGTGGTAGTTAAGTTTTAACACCTGGGAACAAGATTACAGTCAACATATATCTGACTCTAAGACCACAAGAGTTTACTGTTACCTCATGGTCTACATTACTTGTGTATATGACATGGACTTTTTTAGATGCAGATATAACCAATGAAGGTGGAGGAGTAGATGATGCAGCAGCGAAAGACTGTTGCCACAAACCAAAAATGATTATAAAAAGAGGAAGTAAAAAGGAATCCAAGCAAACATTTTGCCATGTTCAAAGACAAAAAGATAGGCGCATGCATTTAGACATGTTCTTACCTGAACATCTGGCGCTTCCCTTTCTTCTTCCTCCCTTACCTGTCCGCTGTCCTCTCCTTTCAACAGCAACTACCTCATTGACAGAATCTGGCTCACTTCTCAGTAACAAACTCCACCCCTGAGCGGGTGAGATGAGTAAAGAGGGAGGGAGGCCGACGGCAGGAAGAACTAACTGAGGACGCCTTCCTCCTCTTGTGTTGCTGCTGTGGGATCGGTAATCGGAGCGGAAAAACCTAAAGACAAACAGCAGACTGTGAGATCAAAGTCTTGTCCAAAGTGGCTGGTGGTTTGTTATTACTGAACAGAAGTGGGCAAAGATAAAAGACTTAGTGCACTAATGTAAGGAAACACCTGAAGGGAGAAAATCATGTATTCTATAACAGATTACATGCCTTGCACAGCAGCAGAGTAGGCAGAAAAGATGTGGACCAGAGGACACAAAGACTGCTTATACTGATATCTAAGTCTTACTGCTGTTCACCTTTATGGGGAATCAATACTTTGAAAAACTTCAAGAAAAAAAATAAGTTTGATAGAAAAAATAAATAACAAATGAATGAACTATTTAATCCAGTTAGATTTTGAAATGAACCAACAATTTCTACAAACAGCTGTAAATTGCTCTAAATTTTATATTTTCATGACATATTTTATTGTGTATTTTTGTTGTTGTTGTTGTTGTTTTGTGTATTCTTGTGTTACCAGCTGCATTGGGAGAGTTGGCATTTTTCCTCCAAATGCTCCCATACTGTTTCCGGAAATTACAATAAACGTCAATTTCATCTGGTGTACCACAGGGGTCGATTTTGGGGCCAATTTAATTTTCTTTATACATGCTCCTGCTAGAGCACATTGTTCATAAACATGACGTCTTCATTTATTTTTATGCTGACGACACACAGATGTATCTTTCCGTTGATTTTATGGTCTTCAGCTGAACTCAAATCAAAGAGAGGTTTTTGTTACTGGATTGCAGCAAAACAGATTCTGCCATCAGCTGTTTCCCTTTTGGATCACATCAAGAAGAATCTCTACCTCTGAGTTACAGCTTAACTTTTAAAGACACAGAGACCATTTAACACTTTTTTATCTCATCTTGTCTGCAACAGTCATTTTATCTCCCTGAACAAAAAAAACCTTTTAATCAACTCCAGATAGTACAGATATGAGTTGCCAAGCTTTTAACCAGAAAAGACAACATTCACTGACAGTGGTATCACTCTTGTTTTAACCTCTTCACACAGATTTTAAGATTTTACTAATTACTTTTGACCCCCTTTTTTTGACCCAGAGGTTCTCTTTCTTTTTGTGTGTTACAATGTTTTTGTGTCTTTAAAAGGTCTGCAGACTTAAAAAACCCATAGTCCAAGCAAAAAGCAGTTATACTTTGCCACGGAAAAGACAGATCCTTGCCTGCCTGAAACATCCCGTTTGAAGTCCAGGTCTTTTATCTGTTACTTATCAACGTCACCATGTCAAACATTAGCATAACGCCCGCCTTGCTGCTAGTTTGCCATCTCCTCAAACAAACAAAAAAAGAGCCGTTTCCTCGCAGTCCAACAATATTTTCTCACTGGAACAGCTTCTGCATATTTCTTTCTGAAGTGTGCAACAAAGTCCACTTGTTTCACTGCACTTCTGTTGGGCCTGCTGACCAACCAGAGTGAGCTTTTCAGGAGGGTGACCTTAAAGAGACAGTAGATAAAAACAGTGTTTCAGGCTTAGTGTAAGAAGATGTGCTGCAGCAATCTACAGTATGAGACAAATACTGTTGCTGGTTGTTTTTTTTTTTTAGCATTAAAGCATGTAAACATATTCAAGTAGTGCCCAAAACAAAATTATAAACCTGTAAATGTACATAATACAGGCTCTTTAACAGTATTGAATTGAGCTTCAGCATCAGTCAAATAAGTTTGTGCAAACTGCAACCCCACACCATTTTTAAAAAAATCTTTTTTGCACCCACCTGTACTGCTTCCTTCACTAATAAATAGACAAATGTGTGTGTCTTACTTTCTTCCAATTTTGTTTCTTACTAAAAGTGACTTCCTCGCACAAGACGTCTCTTCAGATCACCAAAGATGCTTCAAACAAATTAGAAAAGAAGAAGAAAAATAATTGTTTGGGGGAAAATAAAGGGATATTGTGTAAAATGGGACAAGGGGCTACAGGTAAATAATGCAAAAATAAATTAGTGTGATTGACATGGAAGAATACATTTTTAAAAAGCACATATCATAGCACATTTATATCTTTTCTAATATTTTATTGCCAGACTTTTAAATTATTTTTCTGTATTTACTAATCTTTTATTGTCTTCTTTTATGTATTTTTTGTTTATAAAGCACCTCATGACTCCAATTGTAAAAGGTGATATAGAATTATCATGATATAAATATTGATGTAGACATATTTGCTGTTTCCTTCCTTAAATCAAAGCCTTTGTCCTTAAATATTGTCTTTTTCAAGTAAAATGATGCCTTTAAATATTGATTACTTAAATATTTTAATTTTACCTCAAGTTAAATTATGTGCTCATATCTTGATTTATTGTCTCACTATAATGTAAATCATATTGGAAAAATATTTTTCACTTAAATAGTGCTGAACAAAGTTTTACATTTAAATTGATTAAAACATTTATATTAAAATGTTATGACTGAATTTTCTTTTTAATATTTTTATTTTTTTATTTTTTGGAACACAACATTGCAACTGTTATTTAATTACCTAAAACACTGTATTTATGAGTATAGCATGCATCAGATGTTATACGGACACTGCAGCCTTCATAGCCTCAGTCCTTTTGTTGTCCATGTTTACTGTTTGATTCCAGGTCCAGTGCAGTTGTTCCAGTCAGTGCGTCAGCCCAGCGGCTGCTTGTTCAGAGCCGTGCAGCACTGTGGCTCATTACACTCCAGGCTACAGTGTTTGTCAAAGGGAAGTAACATTCCTCAGCTTAAGAACTGGACCGCTTCACTAAGTCCTGACAGCCCCTGTGGTTCCTGCGTATCTATTAGTGCACACACTGTTACACTAGCCTGTCAGGTGGAAGCTTGAGCAGCACTCAAACAGACACAGAAGTCTGCTGGATCAAATCAGATACAGCTAAAAAATCATTTCAACTCAGAATGGTCCGAATAGAGTGTTTGGGATTTTTTGATGCAACGCTGGCCTTCGTCTTCATGTGCTCCGTCACGGGCTTGTTGCTGATGGATCAACGCAGAGATGCAGAGGATGACCAGGAGCTCAACAAAGCTATTTTGGAAATGCTACATATCAATAAAGTGTCAGCGAGCCATCAGGCCAAACCACACCCTTACATGAGGAGGATTTATCAGCATCTGGACTCACTGGAGGCTCAAGACTTTGGGAGATCAGATGGAACACTGGTGCAGAGTTTTCGGAGCTTTGACGGTAGGTATTGGATTTTTTGTATTTTGCTGCTTTCTCGCAGCAGCTAGTTTTACTGAAACTTAGATAATCATGGATTGTGTTGTTTCACAGGAATACAACACGTGAGCAGTCAGATGTAGCAGTGTTGCAGTGAAATGACCTCATAGGATATTTGTGCAGTGGCTCATTATGATTCATAGGCATGTTTTATTTTTCAGTGCCCTCTAGTAACCTTTGGAAAAACTATGAAAGTCAGGTGATGGTGTAACAGAGCTATGGGGCAGGTATCCAAACAAAACACTGATGTTTTCCTCAAACTTACCATGCTGTCATAAGTGTTCATGAGCTCCAGTTTAATCTTAACATACTGCCACAAAAAAACCCCATCTGGTTCTTTAAAGCTGCTAACAGCGACCCAGAATGAGCTCAAAGGGGATTTATCTGAGCTTTTTCACAGCTCATTGCTGCCTGCTGGACACAAAGTTGATGAGACTGAACCAAACCTGCCCTAAAACCTACCCTGCTTTATTGTCTATTACCTTCTAAATAGGACCATTATTGACTAAATGAGCATCATACTGTGTTCAGAAAGTGTTTAAATGAGCGATCAAGACCCTAAAGTCATTAGGAAAATGTTTTCTGAGGTAACAGATCAAGGGAGAGTCATTTTCTCATGGACTTCTTTTTGCAACCGGAGGAGTCGCCCCCTGCTGGCTGTTAGAAAGAATGCAGGTTTAAGGAACTTATGTGTGGATAATCCACTGTTAATATAAAAAGTGAAACATAGAGAAACCCCAGATGTTTTACAAAATATGCCAGCTGTATCATAGTCTTGAATTTAAAACACATCAAGAAGCTATATTAAAAAGAAACAAATGAAATAATCTGAATGTTAATTGATCTTTATAATATTATTTTTGTGCTATTGTTTGAGCTTCTGACTTAACCAGATTGTAAAAATCTGCATTCTAAAATTCTACAGTCTACACACACTGAGGTGATGGTTTAAAATGTCTTGTATTTGAACCTGATCCTGTACTTCATTCTTTGGATCACCCAGGTCCACCCGATGCTCCTCAGGGATGGATCTGGTTCAACATCAGTGGCCTCAACCCGTCTATGCTGGGAGCCGAGCTGGTTCTGTTCAGAAAAACCCTTCATCCTCGTCCCCTCAGTGTGACCGTCACCCTCCACAGTGTCGTCGCTTCACAGGGAAATCTGAATGAAAGTCCTGCCCTGGAGGAGAGACAGCTGACCCTGGACCAGCGGCCCTCCTCTGGCTATGATGTGTTTGATGTGTCAGCTGTTCTGGCTGTGAAGCCCCTGGAGGTGGTGGGCTTTCAGCTGCGCTACACGGATGAGAGCGGGAGTCTGGTGCTCCACGATGCGCTCACACAGAGTCTGTACTGTCTGAGCAGAGGCTCCCTGAGTGAACCCTTACTGGTGCTTTACCAGGCACATCCTCTGCAGATCTGACTGTCACTGGGACCACAGCGTTAGAATGACATGTGAAGCTGATATCTTTCTGTCAGAACCTATTTAACCCATTCATTCACCTCCAATATGGTGAATATATTTCACTATGTATTAGCTTAAACTAACCAAGGCGATGAGGATAAAACAGTGAGGCTGGAACGGTGTAACTTTGACACAAAATAAACTTCTCAAATTACATTTGAGTTGTGCTCGTTCTTTTACTGCAAAGTTGCGCAGGTTCTCAGGTCACTGGATAAACGAGCAGGACTCACAGAAGATATTTGTAACAACAACAACATACAACAACAACATCATACAACAATAACAACAGTAATGAAAACAACAACATATGACACAATAACAACAATTTTTAACATTGTAAAAACAGCAAACACAACAACACCATAACAATAATAACAACAACACAATAACAACATAATAATAATAACAACAATAACAACAACAATAACAGCAACAATAATAACAATAATGAAAACAACAACAACACATGACACTATAACAACAATTTTTAATATTGTAAAAACAGCAAACACAACAACACCATAACAACAATAACAACAACAACAACATAATAATAACAATAGCAGTAACAACAACATAATAATAATAACAACAATAACAACAATAACATCATTATTTATATGGCACGTTTTAAAAATGTAGTTTACAACGTGCTTTGACAGTCAAGCCGAAAAAGGGGGCACTCAGGAGGACAATATTACGACAGAAAGCCAGTCAGGCCAAAAAGGAAAATAAACAAATAAATAAGTAAAAGACCTGAGTAGAATGAAAGTATTTGAACTTGGTAAATAATTTGTGCCCTATCTATGCAGTGATTCCCAATCAGGGGTTGTTGTAACTGGCAACTTGCTAAGTAAGTTTGTTGAATCCATTCATTAGCTGTACCTGCTTTCTCCCGCAGAGGCTTGCAGGGGGGATGAAGCCTGTCCGAGCTGACGTTGGGCGAGTGGTGGGTATCAGTCTTCATATACTGTGCAACCAATAGAAAAATCACAAAAGAAAACAATTCAGCAAGATAGGTTTTATAGACATATGTACACATTTTTTTGCTTGTTAAACACAGTAGAAAAACTACCAGACAGTGACAATTCTGTCTTGGAGGATGGGTTCCAGATGATAGAGATGCTTTTATGATGTAGGGAAATTTTCTGTAGTTTAGAAAATGTCTGGCCTTCTTTTTAGGGACTTTGCTGTTCAAGGAAACTCTTGAATGCAGTTCTAATAATCATGAGAGTTGACTGCCTTCTAGTGGGCACAGTAAGTAACTACTTTATTTCTACTTGATTTTATTTATATAGTGCTAAATCCCAACATATAATCTCAGTGGATTTAGTACGATCAAGACCTTAATATATTATATTGAGAACTTCAGTAATTTCCATGTGAACAGCACTTGGTGATAGTGTAATATGATACAGCAGTGTTTTCCTGCTTTGGTGAAGCCACTGGACAGTGGTGAATTTTAAAATCATTGTAGTCATTGTCCAATGAAAAGTCACACAGATGAAGAAAAAAACATTATTATAACTGATACTTATTATCATTTGCATTATCTTATTAATGATGTCATAGATATTAGTGCTGGTTTTAAAGGTTCCCCTCATGCAGATTCTCACTCATAGTGGTGAATCTATTGACCTGCTGAGATCTGGCCCTTCGATTTATATATATAATTCGAAAAAAAATCTAAAATGATAGGGGTTTGTAGGAATTTAAAGGAGGCTTTAAAATGTATACAAGTTACCCACAAAATTCGTTCCCTTTCAGGCAATGAATAAAATCTAAAACTTAAAATTACACCAGAATCACATTGCAGATATAGATAGTAATGTAACACACACAACAACGACAAAAATAGAAACCTTTAAAGGATAAAGCAATGTATAAATTTAAATGCTCAAATAAATGTACAGATTTTGGTTGGAGGCTTGTTAAACTGCATCTCTAAAATGACGTATTATTATTACTTTTATTTCTATTCTTGCGAAGACGACACAGGAAGTGCCTCAGCAGTCCCTTTGATCTCATTGGTTCCAGTCCTTGTCGTTCAAGTGTTCCTCCAGCCAATCATTGCCGACCAGCCGCCACAGCGTCACCGCCCCCTCTTGGAGCAATTTTCCCAGAAAAAGCGGACGCCGGTTTTCATATTACACTTCACTTCGTTAGCGTAACTTTCTATTTATTTTTTTAATTCTCCAGCGCGGCGTGTGTGAGCTCTTCCGTCGCTCCTCCATCATGGTCCCGATGCGGATTTGAGGCGAACCGTCGGAGCGGGACAAAGTGAAATGCATCCCCGGAGCGCTGAACCTGTTCCCTCCCGCACAGCACAAAGCCTGTGAAGCAGGCCGTGTTTTCTCCTCCACACCGAGACGCTGATGATGCTCAAACATGTCGGGGAATCAGTACAAAGGCCACGAAGTCAGCTGCTGCATCAAGTACTTCATTTTTGGATTCAACATCCTCTTCTGGGTGAGAACTTTGTGTTTTGTTTTGTGTTTTTACTCAACGCATCTGCGCGTTCTCGCCACTATTGTGGGATTATTATCATGTCCAGGAGGGAGGAAGGCCCTATTCATCATCACCACATCCGATCCGTTATGTTTCTGTTCATATTCAGGGTCATGTCGGTTCATTCATGTCTTGTTGGGGCCGTGTTGGTCCAGAAATGTCCGGATAGAAGCAGCTGCAGCTCAGTCCACAGCGCACAGCTAATCGGCTTTTTGTAGTGAACTAATGATAGCTGAGCGCCTCAGAGCAGGCTGCAGGCTCCTCATCCACGGTCATAACTGTGCAGCAACGGTGTTATTATCCTGTTGATGGAAAACTTAATTTGAACTACACTCTATGACTGATTTAGACATGACGTAAAATGCTTCAAAAGTGATGTCACTCAGGAATATCACACATCAGGGGTGTAGATGCACAAAACTTCGGTTCAGTTTTGAACAGCGTTTTAGTTCGTTTTACACACAGCAGCGAAAACAAAGGAATTCCAACAGATATCATGTATTTTATTAGCCATTCGTCACATGTTTTGTTTGGATTAACTATAGTCTTTATGATGACCTTTATGAGCAGGAGACGGTCCCTGCAGCGCGGGTTCGATTCCCGCTCATGGCGATTTAGAATAGCATTCCTTTTATTGTCATTGCACATTTTACAGCAAAAAAAAATTTATAATTAATCTCTCACTGTATTATCAATAAACACAAAGTGCATAAGGTAGTAGGTAAGTTGCTAATGAACTATAAGTTGCTAATTTACAGCCTGTTGCTGTCTACTTTCCCATTTTTTTTGCACTCCTTTGCTTTCAATAGAGGCAAAATGTCAAAAAACAAACAAAAGACCCATTAAAAGATGTTTTATAATAACGACAGATGTAGTCTCTGGGTTTGAAAAATGAAGCCACCTTACAATGTTGTAGACCTGCATTCTTTTCAGCAGCCAGTAGGGGGCGACTCCTCTGACTGCAAAAAAAGAAGTTTAATTGTATTGAAGTCAATGAGTAGATGACGCTCAGTAAACATTTTCCAAATGAGTTAAAGGACGACTATGCAAACCGTTACATCCTGACTAGATGAGTGTAGTTTTGCAGGAACTATAGTATTCAACTAACCTCTTTCAGCTGTGAAACAAGCTTCCAAACAGGAAGCATTTATTCTCTGCAAGTGCATACAGCAAAAAAACTTTAACAATGGCTGAGTGTGACTATCTAGAATTAAAATCGCAGATCATTTTTGCAGTTGACAAAGTAGAATTCGTATTCCAGATATCTATGAACATCATTCTGACAAGTCAAAATGAGAGATGTCTGTAAATTAGTTGCACATATTGTTGTGCACGGCGCTGCTCGTGGATATTTGTCCGGCAGAGCACTTGAACAGTGCTGTGCTGAAGTAATGCTGGTTGCTGTAGTGGATAAGATCGCTAGAAAGTGCTGTGAAATAAGGAGAGGCCATCGACAAGGAATTTGTGAGGAACAAGAGCTTCATTCATTGGAAACTTGTGATTCAAATGTAGAGCATATTGTCATTGTTTAGTCTCCGAACACCCTTTTCGGGCTACAACAAAGTCTGGATGGGCTCAGAACGCTAATCTCCTCTTGATAAAACCATATGAAACTAGTTATAATCCAGTTGTAGATATTTGCAGCTGAGTTTGTCCCTTTGTAACTGTCCAACAACGAATGGATTAAACTGTGAGACAACAAACTTAACACAACATTTCTGTATTTTCAATGAATAACAATGTGACGGAGTGACATCATGTCATTGTGCATCTATACATTTACTCATTGATGAGATGTGATGACTGGTGTTTTGCAGCTGCTGGGAATGGCCTTGGTTGGAATTGGACTGTGGGCATGGAGTGAGAAGGTGAGTGTTAATGAGGTGTTTGTCTGTTTTGTCAAATTCTTGTTTAAGTGGCATTTTGACCAGTAAAGAACAACATAATTCTAACATCTTTCTGATTTAAGCGCCAGATTCCTGATTTAATACTGAATTTATTAGCATAATCTTCATGCTCCTACTTGTTCCAATTAAAGTTCTAATCAACATTTGTATAAAAACTGTAGAACAGATGAGTACTTCAACAGGTGTTGCTTCTTGTAGAGTTTTTTAAAGTCATTTTTAAAGGTTGTTTTAGATTTTATCTTCAACCAGAAGCAGTCGTTTTTCAGCCAACAGGCTCTGATAAACTCACCGTGTGCTAATAGCAGATGGATCAAATTTGATAGCAAATATGATGTCAATTCTAGCAGCTAAAGAACCAATTATTTCTCCCAGAAGGTGGTGGAGACCAAAACAGAGCCAAAAAACTAAGTAAATATAAGACATTAGCATTTTTTTAAAATAGAGCTGCAACAATAAATCAATTAGTTATCAACTGATACCAACCACCAACTATTTTGATCAACGTTTAATTGAAATGAGTATTTTTTTACGAAATAAAAACCCCATCAAAGTTAATTCCAGCTGCTTCATTTTGAATGTTTTCTGTTTTCTTTATTCCTTTATGATAAAGTCAACATCTGGGCTGAGGAGGAATCAAGAATGTTAAGAACGTCATCTTGGATTTTTGGAAACCATCGCCATTTTCTGACATTTAACACACCAAACAGTCAAGAAAATAATTAACAGATGAATCACTTGGTATCAGTTGATAACTAATTGATTTATTGTTGCAGCTCTATAAAAAAAAATGCTGATGTTGTTCTCGGGGAACTGAATATGTAGACAACAGTGTATTCAGTTGAATGTTGGGTTCTCTGCTGCCCTCTGGTGGCCTAAAATATATGAATGCAGCTTTAAATTCAAACTTTTCAGTGCTTAACAGATTTATGTAAAAGCGTTTAGATAACATTTAAAATGAAGACGAGAGACAAACATTCAGTAAACATGGTCGTTGCAATTAACGATGCAAAGCTGGGTGATAAATATAAGAAGTATCGCCACGTCTTCTCACATATTCAGGCTAAACATCTCGCTGAACCACTTCACATGGCCGAAGGTGTCCAGTGCTGATGATTTCTAAATATAAATAGTTCCAAAAATGGAATATATCTGCAGCAATTTTGGCTCCCCCTTCCGAGTTCGTTCAAGTTCCAGGCTATTTTATGTCACTGTGACCCTTTTAGCCAAACATGTTCTGTCCTGAACGAGACACAGCTGCCTGACTCAGACCGGGTATGTCGATGTGTCTCTCCTCTCCAGGGGGTTCTGTCCAACATCTCATCCATCACAGATCTGGGGGGTCTTGACCCTGTCTGGCTCTTCATGGTGGTTGGGGGGGTCATGTTCATCCTGGGCTTCGCCGGGTGCATCGGAGCGCTGCGGGAAAACACGTTTCTACTCAAGTTTGTAAGTTCTAGTCTGCACACAGCAGCGATGAGTGATCAGAAGATTTTAAGGACTGGATCTTTGTGTGTCTAATTTGTCTTTTCTTCTTTCTAGTTCTCGGTGTTTCTGGGAATCATCTTCTTCTTGGAACTGACGACGGGAGTTCTGGCGTTTGTCTTCAAGGACTGGATTAAAGACCAGCTCAACCTGTTCATCAATAACAACATCCGGGCGTATCGGGACGACATCGACCTACAGAACCTTATTGATTTCACTCAGGAATACGTAAGTTCAGGCGTATCTGAGTCTCCTTCAGCATGTGAAGGCTGGACAGAGACATGGGACAATCTGGTTCACCTGTGATGCATTTATTTCTGTTTAAATGTGTGCAGGAAACAGGAGTCTGTAACATGTTTTTCTGCTCTTCCTGACTTTAGTGGGAGTGCTGCGGCGCTTTTGGAGCAGATGATTGGAACTTAAACATCTATTTTAACTGCACTGATGGGAATCCTAGTAGGGAAAAGTGTGGAGTTCCCTTCTCCTGCTGCACCAAAGACCCAGCGGTACGACTCTGCATGTCCAAACCCAACATTTGGTTCTGCATTTTGAGGCTTTTTATTTTGCTCCACAGGTCTAATGGATGGATTGACACAAAGTTTGGCATATAAGTTCATGTCTCTCAGATAGCGAGTCCTACTTATTTAAAAACTTTGTCTGTATCTTTGGTATGACGCTCTTTAGCTTCATATACCTCTTTTCCACCAAGAAGACCAGTTGCTAGTTCGTTGCTGGTGCTAGTGCCAATGCTTAGTTGGTTCAAATCTCGCACCACCTAAGAACCTGTTGGCTTTTCTTTCGGCAAGGTTGGAGCCGCGCCATTGTGTCATCGTAAAACGTCAATACGTCACTGCATACGTGGCCGTTTATCAAACAACGCTTACGGAAGCCCACACAGGGCTCCAGACTAACATTTTCACTGGTGCGACCAACTTTCTCATTTGTTCGCACTTCCCACCTGGTCACAGGCAAGACATATGACTTGCTGAACATTGTCTTTTCAATAGACTGTACAATTTACCAATGTTCCCTGAACGTCCCACATAGCAGGCTGCGGTAGCTGCTGTTGGTGGCTGCGGGGCTCAGACCGGTGTGCGACCAAAAATGACTTTAAAAAGAGTAAGCTAGGGCGTTCTAATGTCAGATTTGTCCCAGATGAAACCGAGTGATTATTTTCTCGTACCGTCTGTTCTATGAGTGGAAAAACCAGCACATGTAGGTGTGGTCCGGTTTTCATGAGAAGACATCATTTCTAAGTGTAAATACCGCAGAACACCAAAGTTATAAAAAGTACTGTTGGTGCTGCTGGTGGGACACAATTGTACCGGAGTTCAGCTTGCAATAGTTTGTCCCAGGAGTCATTCCAGGACATCTGCGATTGGACCAGGGATGTCCTGGCAAAGAACGACACAAATTACCGCTTGTGTGTCCCATTCTGTGTTTCCATCGGTCTCATTGGTCACAATAACCCCGCCCCCAGCCCCTGGCGTACTCGGTTCTTAGCTCTGGTCCAGCAAAGAGTTGGTGCTTGCGAAGCACCAGTTTTGAGAGCCTTGAGTTGGTGCTTAGGTGGTGGAAAAAAAAGAACTGGTGCTAAGTCAGGCTCTGGCTCCGAACTAGCACTGGAACCAGCTCGGTGGAAAAGGGGTAATAGTGTCGATGGGAGTTTGTTTTTAATTGTAAACAAAAAAGCCACACTTTTTATTGATGCTCATTTCTTACCAATGCTTTTAAACAAGCGTGTTCTTTTTGTCTCCAGGAAGATGTAATAAACACTCAGTGTGGATATGACATTCGAGCTAAACCAGTAAGTAACATGCGTTTCCTTGACTTGCTCACTCTGATTCTTCAATTCTATGTAATGAGACAAACAAGTTGTCAACACCACAGCTGAGTATTTCCACCTTCTAACTTTGCTGTACCAATCTCAGTCTTAAAAACACGGATTCCAACACCCAGGGGTTTTTATAAGCGATTAATGGTTATGTTTCTGTGCTTCGGTTCGTCCAGGACTCGGAGCAAAAAGACTACATCAACGTGAAAGGCTGTGTGCCGCAGTTTGAGAAGTGGCTGCAGGACAACCTCACCTTGGTGGCTGGGATCTTTATAGGAGTTGCACTACTGCAGGTCAGTCGTGTTTATTGGATGGAGAAACAAAATGGGAAGCAAGAACATTGTCACAATTATTTTGTTTTTGGTTGCCAATTTGTGTTTTTTTATTTTTTTGTTGTTTTCTTCCGTGCACAGATTTTTGGCATTTGTTTGGCCCAAAACTTAGTGAGTGACATCGAGGCTGTGCGGGCGAGCTGGTGAGAAAACGATCTTAACTTTCACTGCTTCATTCAGGCTCTCATGCTCATACAGGCAAAACTTTTTTCCCTTTCAAGCCCACGTTTCTGTGTTTTGTGTCTTATTTTGAAACTAATAATTACTCTAATTCGATTTAAATTACTACTATAGAGGAAATCGAAGTAATTCCTGAACCCACTTATTTAACCCTCTGAACCCCAAGCAGTTTCTGGCTTTCTACACAACCACATCTAGAAGTAGAGAGAACCCGAAAATGTCTTTTGTGGGGTATACCAAAGCTATAAAGCCATAAATCATTAAAAAAAAAAATCTTTGAATATTTATTTTACTGTTTTCTGACAGGTGTTTTCAATACTAGAAAAAATAGTGGCTCTACATATACTAAACGTTTTAATATTTAAATTTTTAAATAGTGTATTTTGCTCTTTTTTGCAGTTCAGCCAAATAGTCTTAAGAATTTTTTTTTTATCTTTTTTTTTTATTTTTTTTTTAACAGAACCTGGTTGGAACAAAATTTGTAAAAACTGATTCTGACAAAATATCCTGGCTTAAGTTTTGTTAATTTTCCCGCTGGAGCTGCACATCACGTTTGATTAGTTCAAGGATCGTTGGAAAGCCCAATGATTTACAGCTTTTGCCGGCACATTTTGGCAGCATTTTGCTCCTATAAATGATGTCGTTTTAGCAATTCTTTGTCTTTTAAGATAACATGCCTTTCAAACTCATCTTGTTTTAGGTTCAGAGGGTTAATCCCAAACTAATCCTAATCCTAAAGGCCATTCCTAAAGTAATAACTTTATATATATATATATATATGTTGTTTATTTTTATAAACAGCAGAATAATACTTTGAATTATATTTAGATATAAAGAAAAATTGTGATATGAGGTTTGTACATCGGGAATGTTGACAATGTAATGAACACTGACAATTAGAGTTCAATGAAAAGATGTTTGTATTCTATCAGCAGTCATTCCCTGACTGGCTGAGGGGGGTTAAAAAGGGAAAAAGGGTATTGAGCTTTACCATCACAATGCCAAAACTCACCTCACACCTCATTCTTCCTCCTCCATGCTTCATCAGGGTGCCCCCCCCTCTGTCCATGCGTCGACTCCCACCACACTCCAGCAAGAAAGCATCGGCTTACTACTCATGAGACGCACATGCTGTGTGTGTGTTTGTAGCCGGTGGGTGTGACGGATCCATTTGGTTCATTTGTTTTTCTTTTGAGCATTGCTGTCAATGAACTCTGTCTGGTGGTGTGATTGTGTTCCATACAAGGCCTACATTTAGAAATGTGGAGTTGTTGTCATTTCACCCTTACAGTGTTGTGTGGAAGCAGGAGCATGCTGCTGGAGTCGTTCTTTAATTTGCCAGTGTTTAATTAGATCCATTAATTAACTGATTTTAAAGACATGTAAAGGTTTGACGAAATTTTAATACTATTTTAGAACTTCCTATGTAGCAATCTGACTCCAAACATGACCCCTGCTAATATATAACAGCTAGCTTATTCATAGAGGCATTAATTGGTTCTAATTAAACACTAAATAAACTATTGGGTGAAACAATCCAGACTCCATACTTGAGGTTTAGTCAAGCCACAAATTAAACCTGGCTTTCTTTGCTCTCCATGCAGCATTTCTTGTTATTTTAGTCTCTGGATGTGTTAGCTAGCTAGTTAGAGCTAGTAGTTAGCACACAATCCTGAGAGACCTGTGTCGAAGCGGAAGAACAGGACAGTGGTTTACCCCGAGGCAACCATCTGCCCTTTAACTTCATGTCATGTCCAGAATGCATTTGTGTGTTCACATTACAGCGTAAGCACTGGGGTCATGCACTGTGCGTTCATCACTTCAACACACGGTGCTAAACTGCGCCACCTTATGTGCAAAGCTAACGTTGTTAGCAGTGGGTCACTGTCCCTACATTCCAAAGGCATTCTTTTTGGGGTTCCTTTCGGTATGTATACAGGGGCCCATACAAGGTACTTAACCATGATACATGCGACGTAAGAGTGTTGATCGAAAAGTTCAAAGACGTGTAGACATCAAAACCTGTTCCTGATTTAAATGTGGCCACCATCCCTGTCAAAGTACCCTCCTTGTGCGGTGGTACGTGGCTCCCTTGAAGTCCTACGTCAAGCACCATAGGCAATGAGCATCTCGGAAACTCCGTCAAAATGACAGAAAACTTTAAACTTTTTGAGGAAGTGGTAGAAGTCACGACAAGCCAAATCTAACAAGTAGGGCAGGTGAAGAGTGAAAACTGATGTGGCCAAAAAACCCATCACAGACATGGGCACCCACATGCCATCGTGCCACAGTTCAAGTCGTTTGCACCAAATGTTGACATCTCAGGATGTTACGGTAGAACCCCACCTTGACAGTCCAATCAAAGGGAATTTATTTCAGGTGCTCAACAACAATGTAAACGTCGAACAAAACAACTAGCATGCTCCTGATACAACTCGTCCAGGTTGGAAACTGTAGTTCTTCCACTGTGAAAACTGCTGTTTCTTCCCTCAGTGGTAGCTACAGACTCACCGTTCATCACCAATGATTGGGAATACAACAATTGGGGCAGATCGAAGTAATTTTTAACATCTGTGCCCTGGCTGGAGGCCATTAAGCATCACAGGAGGCTTTGTCATGATGCTCCTTTGTTGCTTAAGCCACAAGGCACAACCAGGTACTCCAGCTGATCTACAATACTGGACTGCTATATGCTGCGCCCACCAACAACCTCTGTTTTTTCGCTGTGATGTGAACGCACCACTACTCCGTATAAGCAGGATGGCATGTTTTGCTTCAGTCAGTGCAGAATTTCAGTGCATTTGATCATTTTTTTCACACATGGTCCAAGTCAGGTATTTACATTATGTTTGATGTGCTGCTGCCTTTCCGTACAGCATCTGAATCAGGATGCTTAGGTCACTGTTTTAATTGCTGACAAGCTATTAAAGTACAGAAGAAATCAGGAAGCTCTTTTTCAGTGTGACTGCATGTCACTGATCCTCCTACAGAGCTGAAGCAGTTTGCATTAATGAACTTTGGAGACATGTGACTCTAAACAATCCTTTCTTTCTTGTCGGCCTTTTCTTCCCCTGCCTGTACACTGTGACTCTGTCCAGCTCTCTCTCTCTCTCTTCACTTGTAATCCTTGTACAGTCTTCTCTCTCCAGCCTTTAGATTAGACTGCAGATCCACTGCTCAAACCTCTTTTCTGAGCATTCCCAAGCTAACCCTCAACTTTATCTGCTTTCCTTTTTTTCATCCTGTCTAAAACTGTCGGCCACAGGAGTGTCGGAGCCTTTGTTAGTCAGGTGATGGTTTATTGATTTTGTTTGGCTTTTTTAATGAGCTCTGCTTTCTGTCCTCTTTTCTCCAGTTTCTTTACCTAATGCTGAAGCAGCATTTCCACTCTAACAGGTAACCCTTTATTTGGATTATATTCCATTGGGGAAATTAAATGCTGACTTTAAATCTCTGAACCCCAAGCAGTTTCTAGGTGTAGGCTCTTTTTTTTTTTTTTTTACTGCAATATAAAGTCCTGCACCTTTACAAAAACAGCACAATAGCTAGAAGACAATGCGAGACAACAAAAGCTGAATTCCTTTGATTAATAATTTTTAAAAAAATTTAAAAAATCTCCTATCTGCTTTGTTTAAAACACAGCCTGCAGTTCAGCTGAATTTTTGTCACCTACAGTCGTCCTCATATTCATACCCTTCCATTAAAAAAGGCAAAATTCACAATAGTCACTCGAATAAGTAGAAACTAAAAAAAGTAATAAGAAATAAAAATTTGCTAAATTATAATTTAGTGAAATTAGACATTGCTTTTGACTTGTGGCTGAAAAAAATAATTTAAAAAAAGCAAAACCGTCTGATTGAGAAACCAATTGATTGCAGTGATTGCTTCAAAATATTAGTTTATGGGTTCCATCATGCTTGTTTTTTTTTTTTTGTTTTTTTAAATATATTTCTGTTGAACCACAATTCAAAAGCAATGTCATGATTTTCATTAAATTTTTATTTATTATTACTTTTGTTAATTTCAGCTTATTTCAGTGACAGCTGTTTTTTTCTTCTTTAATGGGAGGGTATGAATACACATGAGGACGACTGTAGCTGTTGATCAAAGCAGAGTCACTAATGGCTTCCCAGGTGCACAATTTTCTTTTTTTTACTGAATCCGATTTGAGCAAACGCTTAATTTTTGACCGATTTCCAGATGAAACATGCAAAATCAAAGTGTTTGTGATGAAATGTCACGTTCTAACCCTACATTTGGTAAATTCTTCACACATATTTAGTCCAAGGACAGAGAAAACCTTAAACATCAGTTTTTTACAGTTTCCTGATTAATGGTGTCATTTTGGCAGTTTAAAAAAAAAAAAGATAACACACCTTTCAGAGGGGTTCAGAGAGCTAGCAGGATTACATAAAAATGATTCATTAAGTGGTCTTTTTTTTTTTCTTCTCCCAGCTCCATCTTTGAACACATCTCCTTGAACACACCGTCGGGGAGAATTGGGAGGATGAACAACGATCACCTGCACCATTTCCTTCACTGAACCAGCACCTTTTTTCAAGGCACGAATACGTGAAGTGCTCTGTACATATAAACACTGTGTGTGTGTGACTACTGTAAAAAGTGGGTGAGGTCGGTGAAACACGGACTACACGCAGATCATTGTCAGGCTGCAGTTTTGATAGCTACATTTAGCGAGTAGGAGTTTTGATACATCATTTTGATATTAGATCCGTATTTTTCACTGTGGACATAATGGCCCGTTGTTACATCATCATGTAGGACCGTATAGCGACTGCGATGGACGGTTGTCAAACATAAGTGCTTGCTTCGTATCACCCCTTGCAGTACAGTCGGGCGAAGTTACAAAGGAACTCACTGGTTTTGAACTAAAAACACGCACACACACACAAAAAAAACACCGTTAGGATTGTTGTGATTTATAGCAGATTCCAGATGCACACATTTTTATTCAATAGTCTGTTTATCTATGGAGCTAAATGGAATTGTTGTTGCACTAAACTGTTTTTTTTCTCAGTTCCTGTTCAGCGGCTGTCAAACAGCAATGCGGACAATTAAGCGTAACACAAAAGAGATAAATATTTTTCTGGATTTGAACCCATCCAGCATGAAAAAGGGGATAATAATGATTTATTACTCAGCTAATGGACTAAAAGAGTTGTGTGTAAATAAATTGATGGGCTACACAGGATTTTTAAGCATTACACTGGGTATCAAACCTCAGTGTTTTTATTCTTTTGGCTACTGACTGATAAATGTCCATCACAGGCACATGGAAACCTCAAAGCTTATTCTTTAAATCTGTTTTATTCAAGGGAAGTTCCTTTGCGGCTGCTTGCACTTAGACATCAGGCTTAAAATCTTTTTTTGTGTGCTCACGTGCAACTTCGATTAAGCTACTTTTTGCTGTAGTTGTTCCCTCTTCTCCGAGCGATCCCGTCACAAGCTGGCGAAAGTGAAAGTCCTTGTTCCACTCAAAAGGTGCTGAACAAAAACATAAACGCAGCAAAGGGGAAAAAAACATGTTCCAACTTACAGCATCTTTACCACATCATGGACATGGTGGAACAGCCAAATACGCACTATACTGGAAATGATAATGGGAGGATCAAGAGTGGGGTCACAGACCAGAAATGTCAGTAATGAGTCATCATTTGAGGCGCTGCACATCTCTGAGTTATTGAGGTTGTCAGTAGTGGCTTGAGGAATGCTTTCACACTTTTTCTGGTAAAGTTGGTGTAAATTTTGGTTGGTCCATCCAAGAGAACCCACAGATGATCAATAGATGACAAGTCTTGAGATTCTGCACACAGTGGTTGGAATGGAACATTCTCGTAGTTTAATCGTAGCAACTGGACTTGCTTGAGTTTCTTGAAGAAGCTCAAGAAACTCAAGCAAGTCCAGTTGCTATGATAGATGAGAACAACCGTGACCAGGATGACTTGAGAATCTTCACAGACATAGTGCATGTTCTGGTGAGGTGTTGGTAGCGAATGAACAGGATAACCATGATGTAAGATAATATTGGGCTTTGAGATTGCCAGACATTTTCTTTGTCCATGGCATGGTAACAGTGGCTCCATGGGCCACTCCCCATACAACACTAGCATCCGTTTTGTCATCACCTGTACAACACTAAACACAACGCCAGCCATCTTCTCTGAAAATGAGATCCATTTGTAAAAAGAACTGCCCTCTATCTTGTTAGTGTCCAACAAATGCGAGTAGTTGCCCAGTGGAGCCGATGATTTTCTACAAACGTCTTGGTGTAAGCAACAAGATTACAGACCAGCTTCCCAGTCAGTTGAAAATGATTTTGAAATTATCCCAATGTTACAATCTTAGGTTTGGTCTGTGGTTGTAGTGGACTGTTGGTCATACCATTCTGTCTGAAATGATTTCTGAAATAACAAATGGTGGAGTTGTGGACATTCAAGGGCCTGGCTCCATCCAGCATGCCAGTGGTCCATTCTAGTCTTTGGCCCATTAAAGTTAAGGGCCAAAGGAGTGTATGTGTACTGGTCACATTTTTTGTTCACACCTAACCAGCATGTAGATGGACACAAAGGTTGCTGCTCAAAAACTGTATTTAATTGGCTAAACTGAACCCTTTCGAAAATTTTCTGAAATAAGGACTATTTTTGTGCTGCGTTTAGATTTTTGTTGCCGTTTTTATCCAAAGTGGTGTGGGGAAGGTGCACTGGAGTTTGTACGGAACAAGGACCATGTCCTCCATACAGTCACCGATGACTGAGAAACATTTGTCAAAGTAGAAAATGGTAGCTATTCAATCATAATCAATCCTGATCACAAGACGTCATGTGTGACAAAATCACCATCATGTTTTTTTGTCGTGAAAATTTGGAAACTCATCGTTACTTCCCATCTTTATATGAAGTCTTTACACACAAGTGACTACGAATCGTATGTAGTTCCACACCCGTCGTCGTCTCACATCGCACCGGTTGTTACATTTGCCGAGGAGCTCATGTTTTTTGGTGGGAAACTCCTAAAAACTTCAGTGAAGTCTGGTGGAAAGTCAGAACAATGGGGCCAAGAAGCAGCTATTTTTTCATTTGATGTGCATCAGAGATTTTTTCTGACTTTTTCATAGAGCGAAATGGGCATTTGTACGCATTTAGAATATTTCCTACACAGCATTCATGCACTTACTTGAACAAACAGCAGATCTAGCACTTGCACCCTACGATTGTCGTTCACTGTGTGTATTTTGACGCAGATCCGGTCAGTACGCACCATATCGAGTGGAAAAAAAATAGTCGATAAATCTGGAATCGCAAAAAAAAGATGTTGATATTTTCAGTGTTGGTTTAAACTTGCTGAAAGCATGTGTTTGTAGCAAAGTACTGACAGTATTTTTTTCAAGCGGTGGTCTTTGTCGTCACTCTGAGCTTCTTTGAAAGGGATCGACGCTGTTTTTGATACTAAATATTTATTGTACATTTGATTTGGTTTTCTAACACTAAAACACAGAACTACTGATTCTGATTTGTCACTGTTTGGACGGTTGTAAAATGTTCTAACGAGATGTTCTGCAGTCCTGTGAGGCCCTCTCACTCGTCACTACCTTCACCACGTTCATGGATTGTTTCGCCGGTAACCGTATATCCCACAAACATTGTAATGTAACTACCTCCTCTCATTTCCCTGTCTCATGTCCTGTTGAAACTGATTTTAATGTCAAGTAAAATTAATTAATAAAGCTGACAAAAACACTGAGCGTTCTTGAGCCTTCTGTGTTGTTTTTTTTTTTGTCCCCCTCCCCTCCTCTCCCACTGTATTGCTGCCACAAAGCTCACAAATGTGTTTATGCATTGCACTTCCCACACATCATCTGTCGCTGTTCCTGGACATCTTTGGTGTCTGACGCCGCTGATATAAAAGGAGTCTGTTTATTCTAGACGACTACATGCAGGGAAAGATTTGTGCGGACAACAGAGCATGTTTCATGAAGGGGGCGAACACCTGATGAAGGTGAATTAACAGAAACAGGCTTTGAATGCGGGCGGCGGCTTAAAGTATTCAGATTCCCTCATCTTTCGCACACTTTGCCGATTTCAACTAAATGGATAAACTTCAAGAGACCAGGTCGAAGATAAAGAACAGTTTCTAAGCTTGTAAAGAAGAACCAAAAGGTCTCTGCAGAGATGGAAGAACCTGGCAGAAGGATCTTAACATCAATCAAACCTGCCATTTGCCAAACTGCATTTAAAGGACTGTGAGAGCACAAGAAGAAAAAAAAACACTGATGGAAGGAGTCAAAAAACTGAACCATTTGTGCAGAACTCCCAGCACTAAATCTGGCAAACGCCACACACTTCTGCAGCGTCATGCTGTGGGGGTGCTTCTTAGCAGCAGGGAGACTGAGGGAAGGATGAAGGCAGCCAAATACAGAGAGGTCCTTGAAGAAAACTTGCTCAGCGACATGAGACTGGAATGATGACAAAAGACCCAAAGCCAACAGCCATGACAACACTGGAGCGGCTTCAACACAAATCTGACTGTCCTCAAGTGGAAGAAAGAGAGAAGCAAATCTAGGTGTGTGAAGCCTGAAGAGACTTAACCAAGAACTGCTGTCAAAGGGGTTTTTAAGTAGTGACTTACTGAACGGGTCTTCGTACTTTTGTAAGCATGAGTTTATTTCAAAAATTCTGAAAACATGTTGCAGGACTGCAGGCAACAAAGGCCAAGCTCTTGATTTACCAGTCGATCCAGTCCTCACCTATGAGCTCTGAGCAATGACTGAAAAAGATTGTGAATAAAAGCAGCCAAGATGAGTTTCCTCCGTAGGGAAATGGTGCGAGGACCTCTGACATCCGGATGGAGCTGGGAGATTCCCCGCTCCTTTGCATTCAACTGAGGTGGTTCGGGCATCTGATTAGAATGCCTCCAGGGCGTCTTCCTTTTGGGGGCTTTCCAGAAATGTCCGATTAAGCGAAAAACCCAGAAGTCGCTGGAGAGGGTCACGTATCTCATCTGGCCTTGGGATCCCCCTGGGAGGAACTAGAAGACGCTGATGGGGAGAGTGATGTCTGGAATGCAGAGCTTCCTCCACACCCCAGATAAGTGGAAGAGAACAAATGGAGGGATGCATTAAGGTGTGTTCAAACCAAAGGCAAGGCTAGTTTTACATGCAGCGCGAAGACGACACTCGCCCTGGACGTCGTTGACTGAGCAAAGCTGGTACAAAAATGTTTCAGCTTGCGTTCTGTGGGGCCTGTGTGAAGTTTTTCATACAGGAAAATAAGAACCTGGATAAAGCTTATATGAGGTGAAAAGTTTCAGTACTGGTGTCACAGAAGGTGTATTTCAAATCCAAACTACAAACTACAAGTTTTCCCCTTCAATGTGGAGTCTAACATACTTTCCCAGCCTTCTCTGCCACGCCGCCATGCACTTCTGGAAGGATTTTTCCAGGATCCTCTGCAGCTCCGTCGTCCACGTCTTCAAAACGGTTCCCCTTGATGACCCCCTTGAGCTTGGGGAGGAGGAAAAAAAATCAAACAGAGCCAGGTGGGGTGAGTAAGAAGGTTGCTCCAGCACAGCGATGTTCTTCTCAGTCAGGAACTGTGGGATGCTCAGAGCATTGTGAGCAGGTGCGTTGTCATGGTGAAGCAGCCACGACTTGTCCTGCCACAACTCTCACCTCTTCTCACTCACTAAACGAAGCAAACAGGATCTATTTTGTTGATCATCTGAAGGGGAAAACTCGATAATCCGACACTAAATGTAAAACCTTCTTTTATGTCGGATAGCAAGGCTGTCGGATTGTCAAGACGGAGGTCCAGATACAAGGAGGGCTTATAGCTGTTATAACTATGAAGTTCACATACAAGTCATATTTAATTGGAAATGTGAATGAACTCGCAAAAAAATCCGAATTGAGCATAAAGTCCCGCAGTCTGAACGTAGCCAATCTGTCGGATTGTTAAGTCACATAATAAGGCATTATCCTTATTTTGTGACATAAAATGTCATGTCTGAGTTGGAATCCAAGGTATGTTAAGGCTATTTTTCATGGGTTCCATTTGTTTTCCTAAAAACCTGTCCGATAGCAAGGTTTTTGGATTGCTAAGGGTCGGATTATCAAGTCACGACTTTCACTTTATTGTATATAATGCTTTGTGTATATAGTACTTTGTTTAAATTATTTTTATTTCTAGTATTCTTATTTTTATTCTTATTTGCACTGCTGCTATTGTCGTGTTCTTCCACACAAGTTTCGTTGTACTTCTGCACAATGACAATAAAGTCTCTTTATCTTTATCTTTTTATATCTTTTGTGACACCAGTCCTGGAACTTTACTGACACACCTCGTATTGGTTGTTTTTGACAAATAAACACATAGTGGGGAAACAAAAGTGAAAACCTGGTTCCAATTCTTTCCAAATACATCTATGTTGAAACATTTTTACTCATAACAGTGGCATGTGGAAAAGGAGAACTACTTTTCTGTTTGATTATCTGGGAAAAGGCGCAGTTGGTTAGCACTGCTGCCTCGCAGCAAGAAGGTTGCCGGTTCGCGTCCCGGTGGGGGCTTCTGCGTGGAGTTTGCATGTTCTCCCTGTGCAGCGTGGGTTCTCTCCAGGTTCTCCGGCTTCCTCCCACACAGTCCAAAAACATGTTGAGGTTAATTGGTGATTCTAAATTGTCCGTAGGTGTGAATGTGAGTGTGCTTGGTTGTCTGTCTCTAAGTGTAGCCCTGTGATAGACTGGTGACCTGTCCAGGGTGTCCCCTGCCTTCACCCTGAGTCGGCTGGGATAGACTCCAGCCCCCCTGTGACCCTAGTGAGGATTAAGCGGTGTATAGATAATGGATGGATGGATGGATTATCTGGGAAAAAAAAAGACAGATTAATGGACTTCTGTGACAGTGAAAGAAAGAAGACATCAGCCGTCACCAGCTATCATCTTTTTAATTATCTGCTGAGTTACAATCCTCCAAATGTACAACTCATGACATTTACAACAAACATTTATGTTTATAGTATTTTACGCAGTTACTATGGATACATCTCCACTGGCATGTGTCTTTAGAAGAGCACAAATCTGATAAATAACCATTCATACCTTTTAAAAAAAAAAGAAAAAAGAAAAAGCGTGGGCCCAGACCAGGAGACACACCGTGGCATGTTGACAGGGTGTGGGTACAGTGTCGGACATGCTCAGATATGCACGTTAGCAGAAATCCTTTCCACTAGAAGGACCGAACCGTCGTACGTGAAGAGAAACCCGGCGGTGCATGTTTGGCGCTCGCCGGCACAAACACAGCGGCTGTTTGGTGTCGGCGTTCAGTTACCTGTTCTCACGAGATTCCAGACTTTGCTCCACACCTGCCTACCCCCCCAAGCTGTAACATTCACAACACACACACACACACACAAACTGTACACACACACGTGTAGGAATGGTGGCAGCTTTATTTCACACTGTTCAAAACACACTCCCTGGTGTGTTTCCGGTGCCCCCTCGCCCCTGATTCTGAGATTTTTGAGGCGTTGAAACCACACCAGGGAGTGAATCTTGATGCTGGATTGCAGTAGTTCTTGTTCCAACTTTAACTTCTCCTGTTCTTGTTGCTCTTCGTGACCTACTCCACTATTTTCTGCCCATCTAAAAATATTAAAAAATTCTCTTTTATAGATATTCTTCTTGAATTCTGTTCACAGCACTACAAACAAAAGGATTTTACACATAGAAATTTGGCGAAATGTCCAACGTTGACTGTATTGATGTTAAGTAGGCAATTTTCTCAGCAACTGAGATAAAACTGTCAGCAAACACGATTTATTCAGATCAGAAAGGTGTATAACTAGTCCTGCACCAGCTTTGATATTATGTGGTTTGTGTTTACTTGAATGGAAAACACCTTCCTTGGTCAGAGTGAATCATGTTTGCTGTTTCGACCCAACTTCTAATTTTTAAACTCACAGGTCGCTCAGAAGATTGGCTAACATCTGGTGAGTTTGTGTTGAAACATTCTCACTGTCAAATTGGTTGTGAAACTTCCAGGAATCGTCAATGCAAGACCATGACGCGCAGCACGACGTCGTAAGAGCTCCTTTAAGATTTTCATCGGGGAAAGGCACACTTCACATTTCCTAGCACGACATTTTCTGGCTGCACTCAGTCTTTGAACTGACTAAGAGGTTGATTTAACTAACTCACTGCTCTGGTCTCCACTATGTCTCCTCCTCACGTGATTCTCTTTCAGCGATGGGCTGGAAGTCGGTGGAGCCTCTAACTTCACTGTACAGCTGTTGAATGTAGGGGGGGGGAATGTGTTTGGACAACTGTGCAATTAAAACTCTAAAATCTAAAGAACAAGTGCAAAAAAAAAAAAAAAGAAAATGTACAAGACTGGAGGTGTCAGTAGAGGAGGGCAGGCTGTACTTTGGAGTATGCGAGCGGTGGAGAGGTAAAATGAACACTGGCACACCTTCAACAGGACTAAAACATGCACAGTTTCTAGTCAATTTATACTCGAGCTACATGGGACACGACTGGGCACATCATGGATGGCTGTTCTCTTTTTAAAAAATGAAAGAAAAATCACGACAGGAACGTTTTTTTGTTTTGTTTTTTGTTTTTGTTCTTTTGTGCACATTTTCACTGGTGGGTTACCGGCGGATGGTATCACAGCTATGGTCGTAAAAGAGTGTCGTCTCTTAATCTATTGCGTTAGGCTGTCTATGGCGCCTCAGCTCCCGTGGAGCTACTTGTAGCAGAAGATGCATGCACAAGTAGAGGTGGGACTAGGGTTAGACTGATGGATCAAACAAAAACGTACCGGCATGTCAGCGGTGGCAAATCACTCCATTGAGCGTTTGACACGACAGCATAAAGGGTATCTGTAAAGTCTGTAAAGCCTGAAATGAAGCCTGCCTCACCCTAAAGGACCTGCTAACCCACCCAAATAAATCTCAATATTATGGCTTTCAGAGGAGAGTTTTGGTGTCCCATGGTAGTCGACTAAAAACAGTTTCAGAGGCTTTTTTTACTGTAACAAATACTCAATTGTTGGTGGATTCTTGCCATTCAAAATACAAACAAAATCAGACAATGATCAGATTTGATGATTTGTAAGCACAGAGTATTGCACATCAGTCTAACCCTAGCGGAGGTTCTGTGGGGCGGAGAGTCAGGGATAGAGACATGGCTGGATGTCTGGCTGGCAGTTAACGCGACATGGTACCTTGGCACATGACGATGGGGCACAGGGGAGAGCAGTCATGAGGTGTCATCGGGTGATTAGGTGGTCAGGCAGGCATTCGGGTGGGTGGGTGTTTTGTGTGGGTGGGGGGGGTTTTGTGTGGGTGGGTGGGTGGGTGGGGTGGGACACAGTCATTTTAGCTCTGGGCAGTTAGTCGCTGCTCTGTGAGCGACGCCTGGTGTGATACCGTCTTGTTTTCGTGAGCCCTCAGCTTGGACACCACGTCGAGGAACGCCAGGCTCTGGACTTCTTTGTGGAGAGGCTCTGAGAACAGAAGAGAAGGGGGGGGAGTATTATTTGATAAAAGCTGCTCTTTTGATAACAATACAGCTCAACTCCCCAAAATAACAGACATACTGTTTTCATTCAGAAATTCCATTCACTTCTACTTTGCGGTTTCTGTTACGTTAGCATCGATGAAACTTCCTGCTTAAGTTTCACACTAAAAGATTTTCCTTTTATACTACATTGACTCCTAACATTGATTCTACAAAGGTATTTCACCATGCTACGACTTGCTGTATATTGTATTTAAGCTATGCTGCATTTGTTTTATTCTTCCAGTATGTTTAATTTTCCCTCTCAGTCTCTAATTCCTCTTCTATCTGCCCAGTGTAAACACCGCCTGCAGCCGAGACTAAATTTTCACTCGCTGAAAATCTGCCACATGACTGACAGTCGCAACTAAGTCACTGGTGGCTTCTCAGTTACGCCGAGGACTGCAATTTTTATTTTTTTTTCACAGGATCTGGTTGAGGAAAATTATGAATTTTTGGCAGATTTTAAATTTTAAGCTTGTTTTTTCCTGCTGTTTATAGCGGAAGCTGGATGTCACACATGACAAAGTTGAAAATCTGACAATTTGTCCTGTTTTTTTACAGTTTCTGCCTCTGATAAATGGTTTCAGCGCTCATTTTGTCGCTTTTTTAAAAAAGGAGAGCGAATGACCAACCAGGACGGACAAACGTTGATACATACTGCATACATACATACATACTACATTGTGCTTGGCTTCAGTAGTAGTGTGAGAAAACAACCACCAAAGTTAAATGATGAGCTAAACGCTGAACACTTTAGCTCGTGACTGACGGGAGAGAAGCTGCAACTTTAACTGTGTAGCAGAAAAACATTGAATCAAGCAAAATCTAATAATAAAAAAAATATCCGCCATGATAAAGACTTCCCCTCAACAACGGCGGAAGCATATGTAAAGCTCACCTGAGCCCATGACTGCACAGATGAGGATCATGGAGTTGTACTTGATCTCTGGTGCGCTCCTCTCGTCTGACAGCAGCTTGTGAAGCACTGACACCAGGCTAGCTCCAACAAAGTCCTTCTCAGCGGCAACTGAAATTCAGAATAAACATAGCCTCAGAGTGTCACCATGATAAACACAACAGCATGTTGTAGTTTTCTATTCAGCGTGTGCTGCAGAGGAGGCTGTCAGATTTACTTCAGGGATAAGATTAATACTACGAGCTTGAAACCCCCTTGCAGTATTTCTGAAGACAGTTTGGGGCTTCGCCTAAACTCGGACAGATATTTTCATCAGTGAATGTCAGATGTTAAAAATAAATAGGATGTCACACTTTCTCTGGTATATTTACACGACTTTTCTTTTCTTTTGCCGTCTGTCAAAAAAGCTCAAAACAAGTGAACTGTGGATTTTTGACTGTCAGCTTTGCCTTTTATGAGAAAACCTCTCCCTATGTGACGAGTAATGTGAGAGTACAGTACTACCAACTTCTATTTACGATCAGCTGGCTCAAGTATTTCTCACAACTCTTCTTGATGGACCTCCTGAATTATTCATTATGTATCAAGCTGGACTTCTAATTAAGCTGGTCCCCTCCTGCCATTCATGACATGCTGAGGAGACTACTTATGCGTCACTGTGTTTTCTAGAGTCGTACACAGTGAGGTAAGATATCAGCAGAACACACTTTTGAGTTGTGGTGAAACATTTCAGGTGACAGTGTGAACACAGCTTGAAGCATTTTCTTTCACAATGCCCATTATAACAAGCATTTCTCACATATTTGCCCGTTTATTATCAAACCCTCTGTCCAGGATGGAATTATGATTATACCCGGGATATTCCAATAAGTGCACGCCCGTAACGATCGGGATTCTGGCATTATTCAATGACAATAAACAGGCTGTCTTGAGCGGCATGGCATTAAGTGGGCAGTGCTGTGTTAAATAAAATAGCATATAGACATTTAGACTTAATGTGCAAACTATAAATACACGTGAATGAGTGAACAACTGCTCTTACCCAGTTCCAGCGCTGCTATGAGACCCAAAGCCACCAGTGCTTCGTTCTGCATAATCATGTGCTCGCTGGTTGCCATGGTAACTAAATGCTTGACACCACCTCCCTGGATGACAGTCTTGACGACTTCCTGAAATTCAAACACACACGAAACACTCTTGACTAAACCGATCCTGAGACTTAGTTTTAGATAAACAGAGAAGTTACGGAAAAGAAGAGGATGAGAAGTAAATGTGGTTCTAGTAAATTTATAAATCTGAAGTCATTATGTAAAATGTTCATTTTAAAATGTGCAAATCAGCAAAATGATTTCTTGCCAGTGTTGACAAATAGATATATTACTTGTAACTATCACTGAATTACTGTGATACTGAAGGAAAATGTGAAAATGTGACTATTTTCAGAGAAGTTCTGGAGTTAAAGAGACGTCTCATTTCTGTGATTTCAATACTGATTCATGAAAATGTATTTGTGACAGACATCAGAGATGCTGATATCTTTGACAGTCACGCTGAATAGAAATGTAGCAAGAGAATCATGACATTTAGTTTTGATTGGCTCAACACAAGACATATTTAGATGCAATCTGCAGCCTTTAAGGGTAAAGCAACTCCAAACCAACTCCCTGTTTTCTTTACAGTACCAGCATGGTCCCATCTCTGTCAGTAACTTGTGCTCTAGACCAGACAGTGCAGGAATAATGAACTATTAATAAAGCCTTGGAACGTTAAAAGACTATTTAAAGTGACCTTGGAGGACGAAGTGGCGTGTCTGACCTTGGATTTGCTGTGTCGAATGAGGGCCGACAGGAGCCTGTTGGACTCGCCCATCACTCCTGCGTGATCTTTGGCTTCACACCACTCCACTAGCCTCTCCACCAGTTTCCCGTTGGTTCCCAGCTGGTCTGCGGCTTCAGCTGAACCAACACACACAGCAGGCAGGCAAGATTACTGTCATTTATTCTGGTGTGCACCGTCTTGAGCAGCTGTTACCGTATTTCTGAGTCTTTCTCACTCTGAACTGAAACTCTTACAGTCTGGGCAGATTCTGCCTTCATTAGCATTTTGTTCACAATATCTTTCAACAGGATATCAAAATTAATGAACTGGTGGGTGGAACATGACCAGACTATACTGTACTGACAGAGTATGCATATTTACATGCTGTGCAGTGATGATTATCAATTTGTTAATTGCTGCCAACATAAGGACAAAGACAGGATCTCTACCTTGTGTATCGATGAGCATACGTAACGTTCCCAGGAGTTTAAACTGGACTGGAGGCATCTCTGATTGCAAAAACTTCAACACCACGTCCGCTACGCCAGCCGACAGCATCTTGGATTTGTTTACCACTGGAAAGAGGAAAAAACAGGGCAGACTTAAACACTGTTTTACCATCAGAACCAAGTCTTCTCAGTGCACATGTTGTGGATATTATGCTTTGCCTGTCTTTGTCTCTGCAGTAGCTTCCACAGCTCGGATAACTCCCTCTTAAAATAAACTCCTGATGGAGACTTGCCAGTGTCAAAGAAAGTCACAACAAAGACCTTGAAGGACGGTCTGAAAAATGCCAGCTGTCAGAAAACATTATTGTGGCTGCTTTAAAGGTTCTAAAGCTTTTAAGTGAGTGTATGATTGATAAAAAAGGAGAATTATCAGTGCATGGCATCTTAGGCTCTTGTCAGTGTAGTGTGCTGTATTGTGACTTATCACATATGTCAAAACACAGCATATAAATGTTAAATAGCAAACTTTAAAATATGTGTTGCTGGTACATGTACAAAGCCTCCATGGATGACAGTTTAAAGCTGTGAATTTATGGTTACATGATATACAATACACTCAAAGCTCACAGTTTGTGCGGCGTCCTACCGATGTGACTCACCAGGAATAGCCAGGTTCCTCAGGGCGCTCAGTGCTGCATGTTGAACAGTGACGTTTCCTTCCTCAACGTGCCGGTCCAGCAGCTCTAGAAGCTTCTGCACAATGCCAGTGTCCACCATGTGGATGCAATTCCCGTCTACACACAGCAGTAAAAATGCAGGTTGAGATTAGAAGGAAGGCCGACCGGCTACTAATCACAGAAGTGATTACTGTCACACGAAATCACTGGATTGACTCACTGTGAGATGCTCAAATTATTGTAGTGAAATTAACTTGCATAAATAACTTAAATATAAACTAGCATCCTCCCACACACCCTTCTCTGCTTCTTTTCCTTTCGTTAGACTTATTGTCACTTATGTTGATTTGCAGCTCAGTGGGAAAACATCAATGTTACCACAGACACCGCACCAGCATACCGGTGCTTTTCTTTGCTGCAGGCTACTAATATTTTGCTTCTGCAATGTCTGACCGCTCCAGCTGGAATGATAAAAGCTGTGACTAATTCTACTCTACTTTCATCTGGGATCACATCTCATCACAAAGTGAAATAAGGCTCACCATTGCGAGCAAAGTTAGCGATGGCCAGAGCCCCAGCCAGCTGCAGCTGATGGTTGTGGGATGGTATCCAGGACAGAACCCTCTGGAAGACGCTGCCCTTTCCTCCCTCAAACAACTTCTGCATGGACTCATCTACACAGAGCAGGGAAGATGAGATACAACAAAGCAATGAGGATGAAACAGAAAGGAACATTGAACTCCCAGCCATGTTGAGTTACTGCTCGGTTGCTAATGAGATGTGCATACTGCTGTTTTAACAGAAATGAATCAAGAGTGTGAACAGTGTCTCGTGAAGTGCTGAGAGAGCGAACAGAGAGATCCTCGTGCACATTTATAACACATCACGTTCAGGTCTATGCTGCTGCATGAAATATTTACATAAAGGCTGAATTATTCATTCTCGACATCAGTGCTGGACAGAGGACTCTGTGGATTTATATTTATGATCCTATAAAGTATGTGTGAAGGTGAAATTTTCCATCCATAAATTAAGTCGCTCTTGTGTTCTTACAGCCGAGTACAGCTGGCTGCAGGGTCTGTGCTGCAACATAATCTGACAGTTTGAAGAAAGAATGAATTTTTAATTACTGTTACACCAAGGTTCAGTTCTAATTCGGAGAGGAATCTGAATGTGGTGCCTGTCTACACGGTATGCTCTGGAAAAGACGTTTAGGAACTCTAATCCCAACACTGTGTAGTTTGACTATTTATTACTAAACACAGGAAGTTGATGACGATTGCTGGGTGATACTAAAACCAGTTAGCAGGAGGCATCATGTATTTATCAACTTCTGGTGTTCACCTCCGAGCAGCAGGAGGACCATGAGGTCAGAGGCTGTCTTCAGCTGGGTGATGTCCTCCTCCCGCTCTCCATCCACAGTCTGAGCCACCACCTCCAGCAGACACTCCACCAGGCCGGCCTCCACCAGCTGCAGCTTTATCACATCTGGCAGAAGGAAGGAGGACCAGACATTCAGAAAGGACCACAGTGGACCTTCAAGTCTGAGACACGCTGCTGCAATGCAGTGGTGCAACATATGAATGCTATCAGCACACGTCAGGAGCTCCGGCAGCCTGCATGCCAGCAGGACTGCATAACATGATTAACATGATATTAAAAATAATATTCAGTAGTTTGTTAGTTCACGGATAGGCTCCTAAGTATTCTGTTCTAAAACAAGCTTTAGCAGCCCACAAAAATGATGAGAAATGTTTGGGTTTTTTTTCAATTTGTTGTGTTATTTTCCATTGAAATTCCTAAAGTGCTCTAATGGAAGTGAAGGGTCGTGTAATATCAGGTATCCATCCATATATAGTACTGATTTATTAATGAAATATGTATCTGGCACATTGAAATAAGAACTGTTCCCTACTAATTTTGAAAAACCTTATTTATCACAAGCTTCTTTATTACAACACTAACATCCTCAGTAGACGCTATTGAAAGGATTGAATTTAAAATGACCGATCTGGCATAAATGAAACATAATGAAACACATCCAGCTGTCTTGTTTACCTGACAGACCGTCCAAAACCTGAAGATGTTCAGTTTGCAATGACATTAACAGAGAACGGCTAAATGTCTGGAACTTGGTCATGTTTGACACTCATTCCTAAAGATGCCTTGTCAGAATGAATCACTCATTAAAATAGTTCATTTAGAAAATTTCAACCAGATTCTCTAAAAACAAACGAACAAAACTCAGTGGTCTTTGGCAACTGTGAAGCCATTAGTGAGCTGCAAACAGTCAATGTGAAAAAAATCCTTGGCTGAACTGCAGCCTGTGTTTAACCACCATCTGCAGGAATGAGATTTGGTTTAAGTTGTTCACTAAGAGAAAGACACCTCACTCTGTTGGAGTACACTACACAGTGATGTTAGAGAGTAGAGCTTGTTCCTACACAAATGACTCGACCTGAAGCAAATTTAAATTTCTTCTGTGTTTGAGTGGTTTTTTTTAGACAGACTTGAAGAACACTTGAACGTACGCTTTTCTTATTCTGAAAGCATGATTTTAAATAGCGCTGAATGTTTTCAGGGTCATCTTTGTTTGTCTGTTTATGTAACAGGAACCACACTGATAAACATTCTTATATTCAAACAGTGCAACAGATGTGATATATATACAGGGCATCTAGCTGAAACTAATAGGTAACCCTCCATCCTTGGTTAGGCTGTTCATTGTACATATTCTAATGATTTGTATGATGTTTTCTTCTTTGCTGGGGATCAGAAACTAGATTAGCCCACCTCAGTCCAATTAGAATTTTTAGTTTAGTTTTAGTTTGAACACCTGGGCTATATGAGCTATACAGGACAAACTACTGTCCAACCAGCTTCCTTCTGTGTTGTGAGACCGTGTCAGTTTAGGGCACTGAGTAGGAACATTAAAGCCTTGTCTCTTATGAAACAGTTGATCTTTTTGTAGTGTATAACAAGCTTTGGAAGCTTTAAAAAAAAGAGATCTAAAGGGGGGAATTGCTGTAATCTGCAGAAAGCTTGGTTTGTGGTGAAACTACAACAAACCGCCAGCTTTGACTGTTGTGTAACACCTTCATCAAGCATCTGAAGAATTGATTTGGAAACATCAGGAAGTGCTGTCTGGAAAATAAGACACCAGGATCGAACTTACAACAGAGAACACCTTAGATATCAGAATACAGTTCGACTTTAATACACAACTGATGATATTAGTGAATTGACTGACAGAAAATTAATTAGCAACAATTTTGACAATCAATAAACAATTCGGAGGCATTTCTTTAGCAGAAAACGACCCAAATTCCTTGGTTACAGCTTGTCAAATGGGGATTTTATGATTTTTTTTAATCTATCCATGAGAATAAACTGATAGTCTTACGGTTTTCACTGACAAAATGAGATTTCTGAAGGTTTTTCTTCAGACTCTGGAAAGCTGCGATGGGCATTTTTCTACATGCCAACATTTTATGGACCAAAAATTATCCTATGCAAGTGTTTAGAAAAATATCCCAAAATTACAAATTATTTAACAATTTTCCTTGTCAGTTGATCTAAAATTAAGCACCAAAAAGTAGTACAACAATCCAGTTTTTTACAACTGCCTGAATCGTCCATGTCTCACCATTATAGCTCTGAATATTTCACAGAACAAGTGTTCAGTTGTTGTTCCTCTCGTAACCTAATGAACAGCACGCAGTGTGACAAATGAAAGAAACGGTGAGGTAGAGACTAAGGTTTCTTTCGAGTAGAGTTAAGTAGGACGTTGTCCTGGAGACTGACAGTGTGGGAGCACTCAGTGTGCCTGGAATGGCGATAACAACAGCCAGTAAGACGCTCTCTCTCTCTCTCTGCTGCTGAAACACACACATGCTGACATGTTTGAAAAAGAGCAGCTAAGCAAATGCAGGAGCTGTCTGCCATGACTGTGCAGTTAGCAGCTAGCCTGGAACGCATGACTCACACTGAGAGGATAATTTACTATACAGTAGGTGGTGGACGTGATTTTCATCCAAAGGCATGAAAATCGTGCAGTCTGTCTCTGTTCTGTATCTAAATCTTCAGGCTCCCCCGTGCACTGCTTTTGGCCTTTTTATAATGCTTGATAATTATTTGAAAAAAAAAAAAAGACTGAAAAATCACATTACCATTCTCTGCAAGTGGAGCCAAAACCTCAAAAATCATTTCCTTCTTCTCGTGCTCTGACTGCTTCTGGAAAAGACGCACCAGCTCCTCAGCGATATTGGTGGAGGCAAACTGCTCTTTGCTGGACTCTGAAAACACAAAAGGTGTTTCACAGGCATCACAAACGTTCCTTTAGATCACAAGTCTCTACTGGTTGCACTGGTATCTGTAACTTTTTAGAATCTAAGCTTACTGAGCTTGACTTTTGCAGGTACATTTTTAACCCATGTTAACCGAAATCATAAAAATAAAACATTTAAATAACGGCCAAAAGTACACCACTTATCATCACTTCGTCATGCACTGTAAAAACAGAAGCAATCATCAGATCTGACAAGTGCTCCTTGAAATAATCATGTGTAAAACTGATATTTTATCAAAACGACTTCTACACATTACATTTGAAAATTTGCCAAAAATAACTTGTTTGCACGTGATTGTATGAAAACAAACAAACTCTGAATTGAGACGCTATGACTGACTCAGTTATGAGCCAGTCATAAACTGCTTAGTAAGTCTACTGGCTTGACTAAACACATATGGAAATATACTCACCAAGCTCAGCCAAATTGCCAAAGGCAATTAGACACATTTCTGTCAGGGCTGTGTTGTGGGAATGGATGCCCAGCAGCTTCACCAGCGTGGGAATCACACCCATATTGATCAGCTGGGCTTGTAGGGAATCTGCAAAATAAAAACACAGACACAGAAAGACAGGCAGTTCATCTGTTGTTCTGAATATAAAGAGGTCTGTGGAGATCAAGAGAAAAGCATGTGTGACATTTAGACTGCTTGATAGTCAGTATGCTGCATTTTAACAACCAGTTGCCATTTGTGTAAATCTTATTGTTTAACAAGCTGTCAGTTTCAAACAATGCTCAAGTAGAGCAGACCTACATGACGGAAATTAAGTCACCAAAGATCCATTCCTACCCTAACTAGATCTGCAATAAAATCTCAAATGAATCTGCATCAGATATGTCAACTGGTGTCAAGGTCTCCCTATGACAGTAGGATAAGTTAGAAACAGCCAAGCAAATCCAACACTTAAGATCCCAGAAACATTCAAAGAAAGGCATAGCTGTGTTTGCCATTTGATGACGAGAAGTTATTAGAAGCACCTGAACAGCAAAAAGAAAGCATTTCAGTCTATTTTCATTAAAACACCAGCATCAATCTAAATCAAGAATCATGAGTGGGGAGATAAGCAGAATGGAAAGGAGAAGGAAAAAGTCCAGTTTTGATCTGAATGTAAATTAGAAAGTGGAGCTGCAACACAAGCTGAACCACTGAAGCCACGTTTCAAAGAAACCACTGCTACATGTTGTTAATGAACCAAAACGCTCATATTTTACACAGCGTGATACCACATGAGACACAGCGGAGTTGAAGGATTGCTTGCTGACACACAACAACGACAGGGTGTTGTTCATCCAGCGCAAACAAGGTCGAAGACTAAGGGTTTTTTTTTGGAAAGGTCTGAAAAAACAGAAAGCTATTACAGTGACACTAAAGCGATCATTCTTTATGTGTTGTATTTCTACAATTAGAAGTGATTCCTGCTCTGTGTGGGTCGACAGTTGTAATATATTGTATGCGATTGCGTTATGTACTAACTTGACTTGGTTAGACTAAAATAAAAGTGGGGAATGGCCAGAAGCGTTAACATTCTGGGAAATGCTCCTAGCAGAAAAACACCATTGTTGTGAGGCGGAAGCCATTTATCAACTCTATCATGGTGTCATCTACAGTGTTTACAATATTCACAGGAAAGTATCAATTTATCTTCCTATCGTTTACAAAATGTACACAATGCATGTTTAAATATTAATCTTTTCTAAAACCTTTACAGTTTTTTAAGACACTAGAGTGCATTAATCAATTAATCAAAGGGGCATTTGTTGGCACTAAAATGCAACACACACACTTCTTAAACAAAAAACAAATTCAAGGGACTAAATACAAGTTTGTAACAAAAGATTAATAAAAGTCTATACAATTTGGAATTATTGCACTTAAGCTCGCTAATATTGTGTGACAAAACATTCAGTAAACATTGCGTGACCTTGTATAAATACTCAACAGGCATTCTGTGTCCACTTCCAATATTCGAGTGTGTGCCTCTGTGTCCACTTCTTAAGGGATTCGTTTTAATTGATGCAGCAGACTCTGTGTTAGCAGGGAGCTGGCTCAACAGTAGCTACATACGAATACTTAGTGCAAACCCAAACCTCCCCCTCACCCAGCCAAACTGATCCAACCATCATCCAGTGCCAACAGACACCTTGGCAGAGGCTCTGAGCCTGTCACATCACATACTCGCTGCTCTCAACAAGCCTTGTTATCACAAAGGCGCCCACTGCAGGACAGTCCAGAAAACACAGACGTATGCACGGATGCGCTGGAGGGTAAATTCCTCTTTCTCACCTTCGTAAACTGGCGAAAATAGATGACGATGTAAATTCATAGTAAACATCACAGGAGTAAACAATGCAGGTGTGAACTGTGCTGACCAGCGGGATAAACTACAACCTTTAAAAAAAAATATTCTGTAGCTGAAAATATAAGAATGACTTTTTACTTACCACAACTGTTTGATAAATTTATTCCTAAAACATTTTACACAACAGACAGGCTCACAATCCTGCACCCTAAACGAACATCTCAGCAGAGCAGGAGTGGTTAGCCTAGCTTAGCATAAAGACTGGAAGGAGAAGGAAGCGGGTAGCTACAAACACCTTGAAAGCTCAACAATTAACATTTGGTATCCTATGTTTTTTTTTTAAAATTCACAAACAAAATGCAACAACACTCACAGCTATGCAAACAGCTCTGTGAAACCACAATAAAGCACAACAGTGTTTTGAGCTAAATGCTAACATTCTTGCGCTTTACACCAACAATGCTAACGTCAACATTTAGCTGATAGTGTTCACCACGTCCGCCATCTTAGATTAGTGTGTTAATGTAATAACATTAGTCAAGCAGCACTAAACACAAAGTACAGGCTGATGGGAACCTCCTTGGTTTTGCAAGTATTTGGTTGTGAACCAAAGAACAGGACAAAGTAAAACATTTTGGCCAAAACCACAAATCTTGGTCTCATGGCAAAGTCAGGGGATCACCAGTCTTCTGGATTTGGAGCCACGGATGTCAAATAAACAAATGTACAAAATGTTGAGCCAATCTAGATTTTGAGATATTTCACCACGTAAATGACAAAATGCGGACGGGGCTCGACACAAACGGTACAAGGGTTCATCATCTGGGGAACCTGAAGGCCTATACATCAAAACTGGCCCAATGCGACCAACTGAAACACACTACTTTGAGCCTTGTCACTAGCACGACTAAATAGCAAGGGGAAGTCCTAGGGCTGCATGATATTGGTAAAAAACTAACATTGCGATATTGTCTTTTAATGGTCAAACAGATTGGTAACCATTACAAAAACTGAAAAAGTACCCGTTTTTGGTCATCATCATTCATTTTTGAGACAAAATAATTGCACTTTAAAATGTACTCCTACGTCATGCTACATTCCTGTTAATGTATAAATCTTGCATATCTCAGTACCGATGCTGAAATCAAATATCGTGCAGCCTTAATAAGTACCAGCCAACGACTACGTTCTACTTGCTGAGTCTATTAACAAAGCAAACTCACAAAGTGGTGGGTGGAAGGTGCTGCTAGGATGAAAGCTGGCCCTTAGCAAATATTAATAACAGCAGATTACCTCATAGGTGAAGTTGGAAAAGCAAGAGAGCGTGGTAGAAAGAATAAGACAAAGATCAGCCCAAACCAGAGAGGCACAGAATCTTCAGGTTCAATTCAGCCCTACTGTCTGTGTACAAGAAAGAGAACATCCGCTGATTAGTTGAGATGAGTTAATAATGCGTTCTTGGGGGAAGATGGTCATTACCATTATCATTGCTATAGTTCATCAGCATGCCACAAAAGACAGTCAAGAGCTTCTCATTTTCCGGCTCAGTATTTTGGGAGAGGGATTTAATGTGTTCAGCTACTATCTGAGCCCCTCCTGCCAGGTCAACTGCACTCCTGCCCTCATCTGCAAAACAAAAAGGCCAGGACACAAATCAACCACAAAGCAAAGGAAAAAGTAAAGCAAAAATAACCACAACCTGAAAAATACATTTGAAAAAACTGTTAAGTAAGCAGTACAAAAATACATATCAGTGCAAACTAAGGCTGGAAACAATCACAATGCTGAATTAAAAAAAAAAAATCTGAAAGGAAAGAATTTTGACAGCTACATGACAAACACAGTCTGAGTCCTGAATGTGGTGCATAAAGATTCACATAAGGAGCATCTGATAAAGGATTTTTGTTTTTAGATTTAAATCCTTACAAGAATCTAGAGTCGGATTTTACTGGCAGCCATAATTCTTTCCTTTTCCTATATAATGTATTTCCAGAATAACGCTAAACGTTCCTCTGCACACACACATTGCTTTGCTGTAGCCAAGACATGTAACTCAACACAATCAACAGCAAAATCAAAGAACTACAATCTTAAAAAAAAAAAAAAAAAGGAAAGAAGCTTGAACAAACTGATCAATGGATGTGTTTGGCACAGTCAAGCCTTTGTATGCTGTGCCCATCATTTCCAGATCGTACTCCTTTGAAGGCCAGCACATTTTATGTTTGATATTCACAACAGGTGACTTCATCAGTGTTGTTCTGTCATTTTCTTTAGAGAAACAATAAATGCACGGTAGTGATAATTGTCTCTGTGGGAGGGCTTTCTCTGGCAGGAGAACTGCCAACGGAAGCGCTACATGAGTCAGCTCTATCAGTAGCAGTGCATCCACTACTTTCATTCACTTGTGGCGGCATGCCACGCCTCATGTCTCAGCAACACAGCAGTGACATGTGCATGATATCGCCTGCTTCTGTTGTGTTCGTGAAAAGCTGCTGACTCGACAACAACGACTCCACTGCGAATAGACAGACACTCAGGTTAGTCGTTGAACTGTGAATTAAGAATTTCTCAGTGCTGCTTCTGGGTATGGACTTCAGGTTTTCTCTCATTTGTTTTTGGCCTCGTGTCCAGAAAATGATAAAAGATAAATTGCATGTTTCTTTGGATAAGTGTTGGAAGTGAACCCAAGCAGTTATGTTGGCAAACACCAATTATAAACGATTTGGGTGGTTTCCTCACCGAGCATCCCAAAGATACCTTTGGCAGGGCTGTGTGTCATACCTAACACATTCCAGGTTTAACACCAACATGAATGCTTGTATAAGAATAGAACAGAATAGGAGGTAATCAGTCGCCACAATCCTAAAAACCTTCAAAGGGAATGTTGTCATATCGAATTCGTATTGGGGGTCAACCGAATATCAGTCAGGATTATAGTCAGAAATGTATTATATTACTAAGCATTGGTATTGTTGGTATGTCTTTTTTTTTTAACCTATTCTCAATAAAATACATTTATTAGAAAATTCCCTCGCCTTTGTGCTCTCAAGGCTATTTCCGGCCTACAGCACCTTCTGATTGGTTACACATCATAAATAATAATCCACCAACAACGAGAGGATAAATGTTAAAAGCTCTCTTTCAATTAGGCACAAAACATAAACAGCGACATTTAAATAAAGTTAGGGACTGGGGTACGGGTTGCTCAAAATTTTGACACCAAGATTTTCATTTCTACTGCAAACATACTCTAGAGAAGGTCCAAATATCATTTGTCAGCCCCTTGATCGCAAAATACTAGTTTCACAACTGCTAAAATCAGATATGTTGACCACCGATTTGTTGCTGATGTTAATGGACAGAATCTCTGGTGGGGTGCCTCCAGTCTGGTAGCCTCTGCTTTTTTGTCTGGTTTCACCAACCTCTCAACTAAAGAGCACACTGGGACACTTTGAACAGAGTGTGAAGCAGCTGGGATGAAGGTCAGCACCTCCAAGTGTGATAGCTTGGAACACGGTGCCAGAAAACAGTGAGCTGCATCCCGCGGGTTGGCAACAAGATGATGCCCCGAGTGAAGCAGTTCAAAAATCATGGGCTCCTTAAAGTGAAGGCAGGATGAAGAGTGGCATCGACGAGTGGATCAGTGCAAAGTTGGCAGGAACAGAGGCGTTGCTCTGGCAGTGGATCGCCGTCGCGGTGAGGAGTGAGCTGAGGATGTAGCTGAAGCTCTCGATTTGCTTCCCTTATGGTCATGGGGTTGCCTCCAATGCTTGTGCTGTACCAGTCATACAACTACTCTTTTTTTGATAACAAACTCTAAGGAGAGAATGCTCATAAGTGTGTGCTGTTATCTCCATTTACAGAATTCCATCAGGCTGACACTACAAAGGTTTTCTTGGAGAGAGATCAGGGAAGCAGAGGGATGCAGTCAGGAGGAGGAGGAGGCAATAAACGCTGACTTTTCTTAACGTGTTACAGGCACAAACACTTCAATCCTTGGATGTTTCTCACCGATACATTTTACAACCTAATTCCCTTGAAGCCCAGTGAACCTTTAGCGGCAGGGTGAGGAGCTCAGACGTCCTGAAGAAACTCAGAGTTGGAAATGACAGGATTCACTTCAGATTCTTCATTACCTTTACCCTCATTATTAACATTTATAACAGTCATACAACTTTTTTGTTTGGATATTTGTTATTCAGTCATATTAAGGTAATGCTTCCCATTTACAAATTGTATGTGATGTACACTGAGGCCCTTTAGTGGGTTAAGTTAAAGCTTAAGAATATGACAAATCTCAACTCCCTGCAGTAATCTGTGCCCCTTCATGTTAGTGAGTGGGCTTTCTGTATACACTAAAATCCATTTCATCGCATCATGAAAGTGTTTTCAGAAAATCCCGTCTCATCTATCTTGCTGGAGAAACTGGGCCGATGTCTCACATATCACAAGTGTGTGTTTCTTTAAGGTGGCGAGCAGCTGCTTCGCCGCGCTCTCCCAGTGCGTCTATCATAAAACCATGCCAGCTAACCAAGACCCCCCTTCACTCCAACAAATGTCACATCCCACCAGATTCCACAGACACCCAGCTTTCCAACAAGACGGGGAACTATGCACCAGACAGCTGTGATTAAAGCCTCTAAAGCAGGCTGTAAAATCAGGCTTAAACTCTGCTGCTCGTCCCTGAGGTCACTGCTCAAATACTCCGCTGGTACACTCACTAATGAAATTTCTTCGAGCGAACATTTCAGATCGGCTACGAGAAGCATTTTCAAACAATCAGATTATTGACAGATAAGCTGTAATACCTTAGTTTTGAGTTTGCATGTCACAAAACAAATGGGTTCCATGTGCGACGTGGTTTTGTCGTCGCTTGTGGCTCTCAGTATCTACACAACTACACTTTCCGGAGCTCCACTTTTAACTTCAAACCAAACGGATGTGCTAAATACATGACCATGCCCTTGAAGCACTTTAACCCTGACTTGTAATGAGATTTGTAAGTGTCCCTTCAAGTAAACATTGTAAAATACTACAGCGCAGCCAACCTGTGATACATTTTAACAGTGTTTTGGTCAAAGATTATTCTGAATTCTTCACTTCTTAAAGGGAAGTGGGTCTGTTGTTTGAAAGTACAGTCAAAGCTAATTTACATAACATTCCTCTATCTCTACAGCATAACCAGGGCAAAACTATTTCTATGACTACATCGACTATCTACATCTGCCTTTAGACTCCAAGTTAAATATTAGTAGAGACAATAACAACCTCAATTGACAGTATGGACACACTGTATATTGTGCAGTGTAATATTTAGAGTCACAACTCCCTCAGTCCTCCCTTTCCAAGCATACAGGAGAGTGTAGGGTGGTCGTATTTCAACATAAGAACGTTAAAAGTCTTCTCTCGAGCCAGTGTTTGGTTTGTCCACTCTGGGCTACTGTAGAAACACAAACGCACAACATCAAAGAGAAGACTAGGGTTGGGTATTTGGAGCTGGCGTCAAAAATCACATTCTAAAGGAATCATTAGGAAAGCTTCATTTCAATTCTGATCGGTTCCTAAAAAACATTAACTCGTGCCAGCAAACAAACGCTGCTTGCACTGTAAACACTAACTGTACACCTGCCACTATCTGTCTGCGCCATTAGTGACGTGAGCTGAACGCACGGGACTCCATTTCTCTTCTGTGACAGCAAACACAACACACAGACTTCCAGTGGCTTTTGCGCTAATTGAGGCGTGCCATAGCTGAGTAAAGTTTGCTTTACCACCCTTTACTACCCTAATAGCACCGACAATCCTCTGTGATTGTGGCAGCATGCTGGTGCTTCGCTCACACACCGGGACAGACTCGCTTGCCAGGCAAACCCACTAGTCTCCTTCACTACCTTTATAAAGTGGATGAGCATGTTAAAGTATGTCAGTAAAATCAGGAAAACATATCATGGTATTACATTTAAAATTAATCAATAAAGTAAAATATGTCTCCTGCGACTGGCATATTATAATACATTACATTATATGTGATCATATGAAGGCCGCATTTCACTGATGTAGTACCTTTACCTCCTGTGTTGCTGTTGCGTTGTACTGGCACTGAGTGAGGTTGGTTTGTGTTGCACTGTGCAGTCACCATGTACTGATATATTCTGATCAGGACTCCAGTAATTCTACATTTCATGGGGTTCTAAATACACACAAAATTAGCACGAGTGGAAATTCCGCTAAAGTGTTCATAACTAACAAAGTTTAGTATAAAAGTTCCACTACATTTCCCTGCACACAATCCTAAAACGCAGAAGGATTTTGGTGGCTGAAGCATGGCGGCTTTGTCTGCTGCAGCCCAACCCAGCATCATTTTTATTACTTATCTTCTATTAGCTCTGTGACGGCGATGACAGTGCTCATGAGGGATTCAGTGTTCCCTAAGCAAAGCAAACTCCTACTTACGGCTGTCATAACAGATGTTGCCAAGAGCTCGGCCGGTCTGCAGTAAAACCTCCTGGTCGGTGGAGTTTAACAGCTGAATTAGGGGAGGAATGAGGCCAGCTTCCACACAGGGACTCCGCATGAACTCTAGAGAGAGAGGGAAAGGTATTGGATAACAGGTCAGCGTGTAACTGTCTTCAGATCAGTCAAGCAAGTTAAGAGTATCAGCTCAAGTGCTGGCATTTTATCTGGGGACAGACACAGCACCTATTTACACTGCAGAAGCTTACTGAAGTTTCCTTTATGGAGGCGGAAACTGTCAATGCTAAGAATTAGCCATGCTGGTGAACATATATCACACAGGTAGCATTGCTTCTTTCGCTGCTCTTTAAGTCACTGTGTAAGGGTTTTTGAAATAGATTTTGTTTATAGACTGAAATTGAATTGGCCATGAGATTGTAAGAAATCAATTTGCTGATCACTTATTGTTGAGTACTTAACACAAAGTCTGAAATAAAAAGTTTTAAAAATCCCATCATTCCTCAGGGGAACATGTTCAGCTGTTTATCTGACAGACCGTTTCAAATCGAAAAATAGTTGACATTTACTAAACAATTAACAACTCAATTATTGCAGCTCTATTGTACACATTTGTTAACATTAGGGCATGTGGACGATATGAAGTAACTCCAGGGGCAGTTTCAAGTCATTGGTGAGTCAGAGAGGAAGTGGAACTCCATACCCCCCAAACATCAGTGACTCATGAAGCTTTGCAGTGTTTAAAACCAGCCTCGGCTAAACTCAGCACAGAAGTGTCATTACCAATGATTGCCTTGTATTTATTGTATTTACTAATATTATTTCATACTGATGGATTTTTCCGTCATATCTTGTTTTGTGTCGTGTAATTGTCGTTCTGTGCTTGTTTTGGTCTACGTGCCCAGAAACAACAGATGCAAATCAGCTGCTAACTAAGTTAACTCTGGTGCAATTACGAGTGCTGTCCCTGCAGAAATAAACAAACAAGTAATAAATAAAATGAATGAAATTTGGCAATGACGTTTTATAACCCTTCTTTGATTTAGTCCGAGCCATGTGATCCAACTCCATACTTCTGATATCGTCTCTGGATAACTAAGTATGAGGTGACAAAGCCCCCAACTCACAGACATTCACATGCCAAAAGAAATCCATTGGGGTATTGGGATGGCAGATAGGATTACTCTGCCTTATCGCCAAATTATGGAATCCTCAGCTACCAACTGAACTGATCTGTGACGTTTTGAAAGAAAGACTACGAGTGTCAAGAGAGACAGAGAAATCTAATGGAGGGGAGTCCAGACATCCCCAAATGAAAGGATTACTAAGTGCTGTTGAATAGACGGTTCACATTTCCCCACTTACAATAAGCTCAGAGTCAGCATGTTCTGTTTGTGGGGAGGATGCTTCGGCAATGACTATACTGTGATTAGATATTTGGGCAATCGTGCTGGATCATCTGGGCTTTAGTGGGGATAAGACACTATGCTAGCAGCTTATGCTAATAACTTAAACACATTTTTACAATAAATGTTCCATTGCGCAGCTTTAAATAATAATAACTGTCAGACAGAGAGGGAGTTGTCTTTAGCCCAGCAGTCACTTGGCTGATTGCAGATTTTTCCGGAAGCGGTGACAGATAAATGCCAGTGGGTTGTTGCCAAGCTTGGCAAACTGCTGGGGAGTGATCATTAGCTGCCGTCTTGCAAGCTGCTTAAAACCCATTCATTATCCTAACCTTTTCTTGCCCCAAGTTCTATTCACGTCTCCTTTTTTTTTTTTTTCGACTTTAAAAGCTTCTCCTGTGCTCCCGCGGAGAAATTATGGAAAATGGAAGCCCTCTGACACTGCAGTTATACAAGGTTTAAGTCTTTACACAATAATCCCGCACAGTCGGTGACAGCCTGGCTCTGAAATGCCAAGGAGTTCTGCTAAAGCTAACACTGGCCTAAAATGAACAGTCAATCAAATCTGATGTTCATTCATAGCAAAGTTCTAAAATATCCATCACTAATTATGCTGCCCTGTTGACCCATATTAATCCATTAATTACAGAAAACATGTCAAAATAAGACAGATGAGAGTGAGAGGAAAACAAATGGAGGAAGAGAAAGTCAGGATGATCCAGGGTGGACGAGCTTAAAAAGTGAACCTCACCATTTTTGGCCAACTCAGCTATGATGTTGGCTACTTTAGGGGTGCAAGAAGACTGGGGGCTTAGCAGGGTGGGGAGCAAGGGAAGAACACCCATCTCCTGGATCTTCATGCTGGCCTCAGTGTCTGGAGGAGGAAAAACACAAAGGAATTGAAATCATGTTTTTTAACTCAAGATTACAAACAAAAACAAAACGAAACAAATAAAGAACCCGACATTTATTTCAAACCCTCACAGCGTGTGCCATTAAAGTGGCCGAATTAACCTCATTTATTTTGGACAAATCAGAGTCATTGACTTGGTGAAGTTCCTGTTGTTTTGCGTTTGCTGTGTTTAATTTCTCTCACCCCAACCGGTCGAGGCAGATGGCTGCCTTCCCTGAACCTGGTTGCGTCGGACGTTTTTTTTTCCTCCTGGTTAAAGGGTTTTTTTTGTGTCTGTCCGGAATCCAAAGGCAACTTTGACTTGTTGGATTCTCTGTTCTTTGTTTAATATTCGTACGGTATCTACCTTATTATGTGAAGTGCTATAAGATGACATTTGGTGTAAATTGGCTCTACATAAACAAAACTGAATTGAATTAATTTCACACATAATTTGAGGAAAAGGTGGAATTACAGAAAAATTGACATGAAAGTCAGAATATCTGTATTAGTTTTCCATCACTTGAGCTTGAATGGACTCCACAAGTTTGTCCAAACCTGACAGGCCATGTTCTCCCAGCATGATGTGACAATGTTCCAAAGAGCTTTTTGTCATGTCAGGAATGTTTGTCTTTCTCAGTCTTGAAGTGCAAATGTTCAGTGAGGTTCAGGTCAGGTGAAGTAAAGTGTTTGAGGCCACTACTAGACAACCTTCTTTCGGAATAACTTGTTTTTTTCATTGAAGTCTTGTGCTCTTTATTAAATTATTTAACTGTGATCAAGTTGCTTTTCTATCTCTCTGTGATCAAAGCCCGACGTATTGATCTTCTGATAGTGTGATCGCTGTGCTTTGGATCCAGTTTCCACAAAGTGATTTAGAGCTTCATGCACTTTCTCCTTCAAAACCTTCAGTCTCGCCATGATTCGATGCTGAGAAAGCCCTTCTATGCTCAGTCAGAGCCTCGCTTTTGACGCTTTCACAATGCTACTTAGTAAGCATGTGTCATCTGAACGCAGCTTCAATGGAAGGATTCAACTTACGGATATCTGAGCTTTTCTACGAAGCAGCGGAGATGGTCAAAGCCACTGAACTGCTTCAGTTCGATTGCTGACCTATAAATAGAGTCTGAAATATCTCCTCTTCGTTTTACATTAATGTTTCTACATCCTCAGACTTTCTAAATCTCAAACTATGATTTGTGGATTCATGATGTTCCCTGAAACTTTTGGACTCCACAGTGTCTGCCGATACCGGTATCGCAGCAATAAGCCAAAATCTGTCAACCAATACTAATTTGCACTTCATTATATATTTATGCAGCACTCGTGCCACTCTGCTTATCTGACCTCTTTGAGCTGCTGCACACGCATGTGTGTGTCCACTGCCGTTAACCCTATCCTTCTAAATTGAATTGCCTTTGATAATGGCCATCAATAATAGAATGTTTGATTTCATTTCAATATAATTGAATTTATATTGAGTTTAGTTTACCCCTTGTTCAGAGCAAGAAAGAGAGAATGAGACGGAGCATATCTGACAAGTAAATGCTTTAACCTAATAGTCTATTAACTCATTGACATATTGACTCCAGCTTTATGCAATAGTTCAAAAACGAAAGAAATTCAGCTTTCATTTCTCCTTTTTCATAATTCATGGCAATATGACTTTGTTTTACTCCACAAAAGACATTTTTAAGTTAGAGAGAACTTAAAAATGAGTTATACTCTGCTTCTAGCCATGGTTGTGCCATCTTTATTGAGGTGCAGGGCTTTATACTGCAGTGAAAAAAGAGCCCACAGCAAGGAAAAATTTGATAGGAGCAACCCCCCCCCCCAAAAAAAACATAAACTACATGGGGTTCAGAGAGATGTTAACGTGCAATTGCTGAAATCGTTCAATAAAAAGATTTTTTTTCCATGTCTGTGACTTTTACAGATATATTCTAGACACTAAACCATAGCAAAAGGTGTCACGTTATGTAATGTTTATGATGTGACGTCAATGTGACCATCAACAGATCTTTTCTGTCACTGTTAGTTCGTTTTGGACGACTACGCGCCTCACGCATGAGTTTTGACTCTATGCTAAAATTCAAAATGACATGTCTGTAGCAAGGCTGAAGCTTAGAGATGGGCTTCACACGGGCATTGTGGCTGCTCTAACCTGTAACATGACCACAAAAATGAAAAGCAAAGCATTCTGCAACCATCACACACAGATGAGGTACATAGTGTTGTCCAGAGCTGTAGCTTTTTAAATGGTTGAGACCATGAGTCACATCAGGATGAAGACATACATGCTTTAAAATAAAAGCAACTTATTATATGAAGGCATGATATTAGAAAGCATGTTCATAAAAACAACATTCATTTCTTTAAAAGATTACTCAACTGATTTAGCACTGCATTCCTGTCACACACACAGGCTCACAAGAGGCAGCGTAAAGAACACATCAAATGGGATGTAACAGAGCCAGAGTTACTGACATTTTTACTCCATATATTTATCTTCCTGGCATCTAAGTTACCCATGATTCCTCTCAACCACCAACAGCTCAGTCAGACTTTAATGTGTGCTATGCTATCAGCAGCTAATGTAGCGTTTAGACTGCAGTGGAGAGGAACAGGACTCACTTCGAGCTAGATTTATTTTCATGTTCAACCTACACAAAAGGCTTTACACAACTTTCTTTTTTTTGCATATGCCGAACATGTAACCACACTTTGAAGAGTCAAATCCGCCGACAGCTATACTGTGTGACATCAGTGCTCTTGCTTCATTGCACTGACACACTGAGACGAGCCCAAAACAATCTTAAGTCGGAACGATGTCAGTTTTTAAGCATGTCAGGTTGTGTATTTAGTGCCTGTTAATCGCACCAACGTTACTTCAGTAAAAAGTAAACACAAAATACAGTCATCCATGTGCGTCGCTCTTGTGTTTTAAAATTCAGCTAAAAAAGAAGCTTTTTTTTTTTTTACAGTTCTGCCTTTACTTTTAATGTTTTATTTTGAAAATGAAGGCTTAACATAGACACTTAGATACCAGAGTAGTATCTGTATGTACTGTATAAGCCCCTCCACATCTGCAGGTATAAGTCATTTTAGGATATATTTTTCTACTCATGGTTATATTTTTAAGTCATATTTTACCACTTATGTTTAGATTTTATTTCATATTTTGTACTTATGTTTCTCTATATATTCTGTACTATCTGTATTCCTGACTTTGAACAGGAGAAACTGGAACATCAGCAATTTCCCCTTAATAAAGTATTTCTGATTCTGATTGCCAGGATATCCTGTACTACCCATCCATTATCTATACACCGCTTAATCCTCACTAGGGTCATGGGGGGCTGGAGCCTATCCCAGCTGACTTAGGGCGAAGGCAGGGGACACCCTGGACAGGATGCATCCTGTACTATTTCATGTTAAATTCTGATTGGTGGGTTTGATTGGTTTGAGCGGCTCTGATTGGTTCACAGCTGCAGCTCTTTGATGCAGCACATCTTTGATCAACAAAGCTCTGAACCGGTGGTCAATGGGACAGTCTCGGTGTCAAGCAGGGCCACTGTTCTGAGTCCAGAACGTTTCGCCATGTTTTCCTCACTTCACCTTTAGTCTTTCAAAAGATCCTAATCATCGCACTGGTTTGATTGGTTTTGCAACGGCAATGATTCCACTTAACAACAGATACACATGCAGCTCAGAAAGAATCACTCATCCAACAGACGGAGGTCTATCCTTACACATTAGTGTAACCGGCAGGTTACAAAAGCACTGATCAAAAACAAAGAATTTCCCAGTTTCAGTGACTTTGCTGCATTTCTGTCGTTGGAAGCTGACGTTGCCTGTAACCCAGTCACCTCTATCTCTGCTCTTCGTTCTTCTCATTTTCAGTATACGTACACTCTACACTTCATTCTAATACAATCCAGATATGATCTGGAGTTTGTACCTGATGATGCTCTTATTTACATTTGAGTCATGTTGAAAATAGTACAGCACTGCTTCTGGAGCTAGGCAGGCAGATTGCCAGAGTGATTTTGAAGCACAAAAAGAAAATGGTTTCTGCTGCACACCAAGTGTAAATGTATATTCTGTACTCACTGTTGTTGGCGAGTGCTTTGAGCAGGCAGTCCAGACAGCTCTCCACGCTGTCAGTGGCGCTGTCTGTGGACGCTAGCTTCAGCTTCTCCAGGGCTTCACTCAGGTTGTCTGAAAACAGAAATACTTCATCATCTTAGGTCCGACACCCAACGTTACATCGTCATCATCGTCAGCCACATTGGACCCAACCAGTGGATTTATGCCACTGACCTTTATTCAGACAGCGAAGAAGATAAATGCATTTTGTTTCACAGTGGCAGCTTTTTATGTTGCCGTCACCTGAACATGCTTCTAAACCACTACGCACTGCAACCACAGGAAAATCCACCCAAGCGCACAAAGTGGTGAAGTGATTCCTGCAGGTGCTGGATGCATGTCACTGCGACACAGCAACAGGCAGTAACAGCAGATTTAAGACTGACTTATTCCACAACAGATGTCCATGTAAATCAGCATTTATTTTATTTTATTTTTTTTCTGCTTTTCTCCACAACTCACCACAACTCTGGCAAAACAGTGATGAATGGTCCACAACAACAACAACAGATTAAGGTTTTCTCATGTAGCTGCTGTATCATTCAGTGTACCAGTACCTCTATTGCATTGATTTCACTTTATTATCACTCATTCAATTATTATCTGTTAGAGCTAAGTGAGAATAATTCAAGAAAACTATCAGATTACACTAAATCATCATGTCGTCTGTGCAAAGCTGTTTTTTTAAAAAATCAAAACTACTATTCTAAATAGTATCCAAAAGCAAATTAGTTACCAAAGGCTGCAGTTTAGGACAAACGAGTTGTGGCTATGACATAATAGGACTAATGCTGTAATTCAATTTTATGTAATTTGAACAGATTGGCTTGCCTATTGATCATTTATACCAAGTCTCATTACAGTCACATCTTGTAGATTTGTCAGCACATGTGACCCAATTTTTTAAACCGATCCATCAATGGAGTCTCACATTCATCCTGGAAGTCAGAGCCACACTTTCGAAGGTCTCTCACGTGGTAATGCTCCATTGTATGTTTTAAATCTACTATACTGTGAACTGAATATTGAATTAAAGTTTCTTTTTAAACGATATCGCAAATCAAATCCTAACATCTGGCAGAAAAATCACAATTACATACTTTGCCCAATTTGTTTAGACTTATTTACAGGCATAATCCCAACTTGAAAAGAGACTTTCATACAATGTCCCAACAACAGGCTTAGAGTGATGAGATTTGACCTGCCCACGTCGCTTATGTTACGCTGGACAGATTCTACTCATATACTAGGATTAAGGTCAACTTTGTCCAAGGCTACATGCACTAGCTGCAACATTCGAGTACAACCGCTCAATGATGACGTTCCCGTTTGCGACTGTGGAATAATGTATGCTGCATTTTAACCTGGTTAGAAGGTCAACGGCTTTGGGGTAAGCCGGAATATTCTGAGAAATTTCAGAGGCCTTTCAGTCGTAAATATAAAAAATAAAACACTTCCGACAGAGTGGTCCACACAGCCAATCACCAGGAACCAGCCGTGACATTTGTATTCAGACACATCATACTACCTACCTACTGATCAGTTGAAATCGATGCCCTCTGGGAAGCGTTCTACAAAGCTTCAGATTTAGACTAAATCCTTCATACCCAACATTAAATGTTAACACGAAATTGTCGCTGTATTCTCTCTTCGCTCACTGGTTATTCCTCTTATCCAATAAGCGGCAAGAAACCGCAGGACAAAAAATGCCAAACTAGGTCTGAGGTCACTTAGAAAGCATATAATAAATAGAGCGGAATACCGTTGGGGTATGCGAGTGGAACTTAAGCGACAAGATGTGTGGAAGGGGCAGCAATTTTAGTGGAATCAGGGCAGAGGCAGGAAAGACTCCGACCACAGACTGAGAACAGAACACGGGTGACAGTTTGTAAGCGGCATAAGCCACACCAGTACAAGAGTGGAATATCACAGACCAATTTTTGATCTCTCCATTATCAGACTTCTTCTTTTGTCCTTCGTTTCATTATCTCCGTAATCTGCTTGTAGTTTGCGGCCCCTGTGATAAAGCCAGAAAGCCCATTTCTCGTCAGTCCAGTAACATCAAGAACCTGCGATCCCGCTGTAGCTGAAACGTTTGAGTCTATCACCACCTCTTCTACCGTGTACCTCTGCTTGAGCGTTTTCCTCTCCTCTTCTCTTTACTCCATTACCAGCACTCCATGTCATCAATCTGCTGCACGGCCAACCATGTTAACCACAGGAATTGAATCTTTGATTTAGAACCACTGCGCATTCATCACACGCTACAACAATCAAATATGTTTCTTTCCTGCTTTGTTTCATTAGCAGGTGAAAGGTTACAGATTCTCCCTCATGACATCATAGAGACGATGATTTTAATGAAGGCTTCTCCTCTGGGATCTTCTCAGAAAAGCTACAGAGTTGTGTTATGCTGGTTTTGTCAGCTGCACCACGGATCCAGCGAAGAGCCGCTTCACTGGATCTATAATGTATATCGATCTACTCGCTGCATGATATTAATCATGTACAGCAGCTGAGCTGAACAGTGGCTGATGAACGCCTGTTAAGTAAGCAGCTTAAATACAATACATGTGTTACATGAGGCTGCGTGAGGCTGCACAGCTCTGATTTTGGTTGGACATGCAGCACTGGCCTCCGTCTTCATAGTCTACATTCTCAGCAAAACCTGATTAGGACTGCCCTGTCGGCTTCAGTCCAGAACGCACTCTAATTAATCAACACACCAACTTCTCATACATTTTGCTCATCCTCATTAGAGGTTTAAAAGGTTGATTATCTTAAAGAGACTCTTCATAACAGACAGTGAAGCTTTGTGCCTACAAACCAGGTGCTGAGAAATTGCATAAGGATTGCAGACACTGTTGCAGTGACCTGGTTGATGCTGTCAGCTGCGAGAGCACTGCACAACCCACACATCCATCCCCTGCATCCTTTGATGCCTTCGATCAACTGACGTGAGGGATCAGACCTTTCATAAACTGTCAAATATCGATGGTTCTGGACGCCATTAAGGGATGCCTCTTCCTCACAGGAGCACTGCTATTCAGATGTGACAGAAGAGAGGTAGTGTTTAGTAGATATGCAGCATGGACTTAATGTTAATTGACACATAATTGTATGAAAATGTAGAATTAGAGTAGTCACAGGCCTGGCTTCAAACAATCGGTAGCCAGAGTGTGTCCACATTCAACACCCAGTAGAAACAGTAACATTAGAGAGAGTAGCGCAGTATAAACAGCATCACAAAGTGGGCTGCTGGATCCTATTGCATAACAGCTGTGGATATGGAGGAGTGCCATCTACACCATCAGCAGCACACACTGCCATTTCAGGGGATGTACATTCATTTACCAACTGGGACCTTCAAGCGATCCCAAGTCCCAGCTGAATTTCACCGGGGCTGCAGGAAGCCAATGACAACACACATGATATTTACAGAGCTGGCGTTGCTAAAGAGGAAAAAATAAAAATAAAATAAAAATCACGACCACGAAGAGCGGACAGTGGATGGAGAGTCAGGGAAGCTACCCCACCCGAGTCCTGAGCAGGCACGCGCGTGCACGCACACACAATTCAGCTCCAGTCAGCTCTTCATACGAACAACGTTAAAATAATGACAACAGAACACTGTGGAGGCAACCGAGCGCCTCACTGCCACTAATGCGTGACACACAACGTCAGCCGTCAAACACGCTCCACTTCTTGCTTTTCGTAAAAAAAAAAAATAAAGAAAAACGTTTTACGCTTTAACTAAACGGTGAAAACAGTTCTTGATAGTGGGCTGCTTAGCTAGCTGTCTACTCACCCATCTCGGCAGGATGTTGCTCCGGAAAATGAACCCAAGTGTTAAGCTCCGTAAACCGAGTCGTACTAGCCGGAGGCCCCGCTGTTCCCCACACTGGTGAACCGCCTTAAACTGGTGAAGTTAGCGGGTGGAGGTTACCTAGCTAGCTAGCCACGTTAGTAGCGACAGCAGCCAGTGGGCCGGTCGGGCAGTCCCGCTCAGATAGATGCTGCTGTGCAGCGGCCTGTACACCGGGAGACTACCAGGTTAACACATCTGACTTCCTCTCATGTCCACACACACAGTCAGACCTGCAGCCTGCCGCTCCCTGCACGACTGGCTGCCGCCGTCAAGTCACACACACGACATCGAGCGCGGCACTTCCCGTCAGTACCTTCAAAATAAAGCGCGTTTTGACAACAGGCGGTTTGAGACATCGCCAGCAGGTGGCAGCGGACCCGCAGTAATATTATTAACTCAACACCTACCTTTTTAGTCTTGTTTATTTCTTACTAGTACTACTGACACACATTCATTTATTTTATACATTTTAGTCTATTTATTTATTTAATATATTTATTTTTTATTTACTTGTTTTGCTTCAAGAATTTCTGGTGTTTTCTCATTGTGTTTATTTGTTATATTTATTTATTTTCTCAGTTTTTCAGTCCCTGTTCTATTGAATCCTTAATTCATAGCAAATGTTTGTGTTGGAGCATTGGTTATACTGTTTGCATTGCTTTACAAAAAAAAAAAAAAGATCCACAAAGCACATCTCATTTATGTGAAAAGTGCTGTACGAATAAAGTCTGACTGATTGATAAAGAAGTTAAAAGCTATAGCTGTAAGGGCAGCTAATGCATTGCACTGTATTGTAAAGATCTGTATCAGTGTTTTTGTTTTTTTAAAAATGTTTTTTGTTTGTTTGTTTTGGTTTTTAATGAATACAAAAAGGAAATTAGGGAAAATAAATGTTTTTTCCCCATTATGTTTTCGGACTGTGTTTACTAGTCTAATGTCACTGATATATTTATGTTCATCAGACATTCTAGGAAATGTGCATAATATTAATTGTTGCTTAGGCGAGTCAACTTTAAGTATTGTTTTATTTTGTGTTGTTTATTTGTGTATGTTTGCTGGGATTTAGGGATGAGGCTGAAAATGTGAAGAAACTGCTAGATTCTAACTGTATGTTTTCCAATGCCTGTATACTTTTGTTTCCTACAAACATCGCAATGTGAAACATTCATAGATTGGATTGAAATAAAAAAAAAAATAAGAAGAAGATTTTTTTTTTTTTTTTTAAGCTGCAGAGGAGGAAGCTAAAAACCAGTCACTCTACTTTCCATCCAAATCAGTTATATTTCCATTGCAAAGACTTGCTTAAAAAAAAAAAAATCTGTTGCCATTGCAGTTGTAAGCCCAGACAATTCTCATAAAAAGAAAAAATAATCCCCTTTGTGCCGTGTTTTCAAACACGGCACAAAGGGGATTGGACAGTAAGTAGCACTGAAAGGATTTGCACAATACATGCTAACGGAAAACAGTCAGTCTGGTGGATATGGTGCGTTTTGTCCACAGAAGGGTGCTGTGACACCAAATTATAATCCGGCTACCAGCGGTTCCTCTTGTCTGCTGTGATGTTCCCCCTGCCTGCCGAAATGCCTCAAATATATTCAGACCAAAAGGCACAGAAAACGTCCCAAAGCAGACATTTAAAAACTCCTTATCTCTTGTGGATAATAACAGAAGTGACCCAGGACACAGTCACAGAATTAAATTGTTTGCTGCTGGTTTAAGGTTCTAAACTGGTCCCTGATACTTTATACTACATATATTTAAATAAATAAATAAAATTAAAAGTTTGAGACAAGCCTGACTTGAAACTGATTTCTTTCTAATATATTTTTTTAATGAATCCTTTTCATTTTTATTTATTTATTTTTCATTGATCTGGCATGGCACAGTTTCTTTTTTTTTTTTTTTTTTTTATTTTTTATGTTAGTTTTTCTTTTTTTTTTTTTTTTTTTTTATTTTTTGTTGGTGATTGCTGATAATGGTTACTTTTCGGTTTAAAGGCACCTTTTTTTTCATACATTTGCACCCTTTAGCATCTGCAAAAGATTCATAATGAATGAAATCATAAATTCTAAACCCTGGGAGGAGTATGTTTGGAGACGGACACCCAGATGGAGGCTGGTACCAGCAGCGTACACTCTGTAACTGATACAGGCAGGTGCAGGTCAAAGTCATTGTCATAGCAACCAAGTTGGATTGTTTGTGACTTTTGGCCAATCTCTGCATTTGATTTGTGAAACATTTTTGCTTGCAAAAGTTGACATTTTTTCCACAAGGTGGCGCTAGAGGTAAGGCCATTGGTGTCCCAAGTGGAGAAACTGTCCCTCCAATAAAAACAAAACCCCATAGGTTCTTTGTGCAGGCAGCTTATTACCACCCACTGTCAAGTTTTATTGTGAAAGCGCCCTGTAGAGGCCATAGTAATTAAGATGGGGGCAAAGCAGGAGGCAGGGGGTGTGATTGCAGGCATTCCTGGTTCTACATGTAGAAATCCATTGATTTTAGAAAACACTGGCTCTTACCTCGACCACTTCTGTATCAGCATTAAACTGTCTTGAATAACCCATCAGTCTAAATGATTAGCAATACTTTGTAATACAAAATATGAAGAAACAACCAATCGCTGAGCTTATAATTCCACCATGTGAGCTGCTCATGGTGGGTAACAGCTAAAGACAATCCACTATTTGAATGAGTTCACTTTTGATTGCTGTGGCAGGTTTGACAGAATTCAGCATCATCGCTAAAGGCTGATTGGATGTTGTAATATTTTGAGTCTGGAAAACACTCTACATTTTAATTCACAGCCTTATATTTTCAGGCATTCTTGTGGTGAAATCACTCAAACTCGAGGGCTTTTTCTGAGCTAAACCTGGCTCTGTTAACCGTGACCTTGAGTTGCTTGATAAGAAAACATGAGGTCAGAGGTCATCCATCAGGGTTCAGTGGACGAATTTATTCCTGAAAGCAGTCATATTTCAAACATTTGTGCACAACTTTTGAGCCAGACTTCCTCGCTTCATACACTATCAATCCCCACAGCTGGTAGCCTAGATGATAGAAAACCCTTTGATATGAAATTTGTCAAGTGGGGAACTCTGCAATTCCTGTTTCATCTGTGTGCCACACAGGCTGGACTCACTGCTGAAGAGGTGAAAATGTTACAGCCACCTTGTAATGGGGGAAGGGTGGTGGAAGGTTTGTCTTCTCTCCCTCCCTCTCTCTCCAGCACTCCCTCCCTCACACCAACGCTTTTGCCATCAGCAGCGTCTGACGGCTGCATCCTTTTTGCTGTAGCAACGCGGCTGCTCCTTCCGTCCTCCTCCTCTGCCTCGTCTGCATCTGACATCCAGACCGCAGGACCTCTTTTGTGTCTCCACAGGGGCCATTGTTGTTTCTTCCCCCCTTTCTTTTCTTTTCTTTTCTTTTTTTTTTTTTCCTCCGAGGGAAAAACATGGACATGATGGGCAACAAAGAGCGACGAGGCGTGAATTTCAAAGGCTTGCTGAAGAGGAATTGGCTCCTAATAGCCACCGTTTTATCAGTGCTGCTCGGTACGTGGAAGATCCCCTTAATGTCTGCTCGTGTGTGCTGAGAGGATGCGTTCACCTTCACTGATGCCATTTGTTTTCACTTGCTGTTATCCATCCTTTGCTTTTCTAATCTGAACCATTCTGGCTTGCTTTCTGCTGCTGGAATAAATCAGCCTCTTTTTTTGCATCAGCTGGCTCGGCTGTGCAGCAACAGCATATGTTTGAATGTGTGCAGAAGGAGAACGTGGATTGCATTTTGGGATTTTTTTAGGTCCATAAAACAGAATTGAGGATGGGTATTTAGTGTGGTGCTGGAGGAGACATAGCCTCTGTTACCCCCCCACCCACCACCACCCCGAAAGTGTCTCAATCAAACGTGACCAGACTGAAGTGACAGCTGATGGAGGTCTGAGGCAGCACAGCGCAGGGCTTAGAGCGCATACAGACAGGTGCTTCATATATGTATATGGGCATGAAAAAGAGTCTATATTCCTTTTCTTTTCATATTTGTTGCCATTTTATCTCAAGCTGCATGCCCTCTGATAGATCCAGACAGAGGAATTAGTCTCTGCTTGCATGATTATCAAAATTTATGCAATTTTATTTTTAAAAAAAACCTCAATAAATGCACTTATTTGTTTTTGTCAGACACTAAGATGAAAGGATCAGTCTGTTTGTGTGCTCACTGCTGAGGTGGAGATAGGATGTGGTTAGCCTAGTTTAGCATAAAGACACAAAATAAACAAGCAGGAAAGCAAATCCAACCTCCAAACCCTAGCTGCACTAAACAGCTTGTGTTATTTCATTGATTGTAATTTGTGGCATTAATCTACAAATTTTCTGGGTGAATTCTATCCAGAGGGGACGTCACATTTTTTGCTCCCCGGCCATGGCAACAACAAATAGCATGTTAGAAAATCCAACTCTGGGTTTGCATTATTGTCTCATTCTATACAATCACTGCTATTCTATATGTATTACATAGATATAAGCAGATGCGGCAGTTTAACAATTTTTTGTGACAGAAGGTTTTAATATTAGAATTGTCAGAGGCAAAAAAATGTTAAAGATCCCCTCTGATGAAAATCTTTTTGTTCTTTTTTACCTCATTAACATATCCATGTGGTGCTTTTTATATGCTGGAAGACACAGTATGAGTGAAATAGCAGTAAATTCCCTTGATAAGCATTTCCACTTTAAAACTGCGGTCTCAAAACCACCGATTCAGACTTCCCAAGTGTCATGCATAACAAACTTAGGAAGCATTCCTGTCAGCTAGCAGCGTTGGGCTTTCTGTATCTTTATTCTTACTTCTGCAGCGGGTTTCAGTTCCACCATGTGTGACTACCAATATTCGAACTTGCTATTGGGTAACTTTGGGATGTTTTATAGTGGGTGAGCTGGTGTGCTGAGGTGCAGCGAGTGGTGGAGAAACTTTGTAGAGTATGAGCCATATTAAGCCAGGAGGTAAATATTTTCATGTAAAAAATAAAAAAACATTTGTAAATATATGACTTTGGTAAACAGAGATACATTTTTAGGAGTTTAATTAATGGCTGGAGGGTGGCTTTAAATCTGCCTTCTTTCTTTTTGTCTTTACATCCACAAGTCTATAGGGGGATATGTTGTTGTTGATGGGATACTGTGAGCTTAGGACACAGAAAAAAAATGTTAATGGATTTTCTAATGGCTATTATTACTCTTTGTCTTACTGCTGTTTGGAGGATAATCATGATCTAGGTTTTGGGACTGCAGTTCCCAGAATCTAGGGTTTTGGGCTTCATCATTTGTCCTGCGTTTTTGCCTTTAGACATTGTGTACATTTTTAACAAATCAGTGCAAGTGACAGCATGATGAAGTAGATATCCCTGTTGCATGTCAGTCCTTGTTAGCCGTGTACCCATGGAGCTACAGGCAACTCTCAGTGGATTACAGTGATGAAAACTAAAAATGTGATAAGGCTCAGGCAAGGAGCGCATCCTTTGTGATTTCTAAGCTAATTTATGCATATTTATTCACAGCTGACATCAAGGACAAGAATATACAGAATACTGAAGTGTAGATGACACTGAATTGGAAAAAACATTTTTATCACATCTGTGTGTTCAGACACGACTGCATTATGACTAACACGATATTTGGCGTACACTGTAGCAGGCATGTTAAAGTACGTT